TCTGTCTGTCTGTCTGTCTGTCTGTCTGTCTGTCTGTCTGTCTGTCTGTCTGTCTCTCGCCCCTTATCCCTCTTCCATTTTTGTACTTGTTACTCTTTTGCAACATCTCTAATCTTTGGTTATTATAATTATCTAATTGTGTTCCTAGTGCCCTAAAAGGCTTACTAAAACAAAAATGAATGTATGCAATTTGAAGCTCCCCTCCCCTTGGGGCATAAAATTGCTCCTTGGATGATCAGTCAAAATATGATGTAAGTGATAAAGATGGTTGCCTCTTGGTTGCATAATGGGTGGATTGAGATTCAGAGACCATGTCAGTCTCTTTCATTTCCATCCCCTGGGGGTTATCAATCAAGATGAAGGTACTGGTTTATTTGGTGCTGGCCTCTTGTGCCATTGTACTGCAGTGTGCTGGTTTGATCATGGGCAATGGTATTGTCTTTTTATAGCTTGGCTCTTTTCCCCAGGTTATATCTGTTAATCTCAACTGTATGTGTGGTATATTGCAGATCTTGTATCCAGTGCACATTGCTCTAAATGGGTGGTTGACGGGTGCTCTGGTGTGGTTTGCTCCTTCTTTCCCATCAAACATCTATCGTCCTGATCTCTCCTCCTTTTTGTGTTTTTTACTCTCTTGTAATACCTCTAATCTTCGGCACTTTTATATCCTTATTGTGTTGCAAGTGCCGTAAAACTCTTACTGAAACTAAACTAAAACATTGCGCTAAGTTCCATCAAATCTCCATGTTGCTACCTGTGAGGATGGCCAGATTTTCATTCTTGGAGGGGTAAACGCTACCAGTTTTGCACAATGTGATCAAATCATTCATAACCAAATCTGGTTGAATTTCTTGGTCACCATTTGATACATTTGATGAAAACAACAAATCAGAAGACTGCTCGCATTCCTGGGTCAGATCAATTGTTTAGTGGGTGGTTGGCAGGTGCTCTGGTGTGATTTGCTTCTTCTTTCATATCTAACATCTTCTATCGTCTTTATCTCCTCTCCTTCTTTTTTGTATTTGTTACTCTCTTTTAATACCTCTAATCTTCGGCACTTATATGACCTTATTGTGTTGCAAGTGTCGTAAAACACTTACTAAATAAAATTTAAAAAATCAAATTGTTTGTGCATGGAACCCTGTAGGCCCTAATGGACCTCCAGGTCAAATTTAATGAAGCAAAGCAGATGTCAGTTTGGTATAGTGTAGGCTGGCCAGTGCAATACCTCAAATGCATCTAATTGTATAATGGATTTATTGACAAAACTTTCTGCAATACGCACTGGGTATTACAGTGTTACAGCAGTAAGAAAAACTCATAGGGCTCATGGTACATAAAACAAATTCTTGGGGGGTTGAAAGTTGAAGAAGGACATATCTGTCCAGGTTAGCTGCTGAAACAAGACCTTCTTGTTTATATTGACATGATTTTATTGTGATGCGACTGTTCTTTTAGTAGCAAATTTTGTTGTTGGATGGATTCATGTCTTCCGTAGCTCAACTTAATATGATCAGAACAAGGCTGTCCTGTAATGTGCAAAAACAAGTTTCTCTTTCTTTTCTTCCCATCAGGTACCCTTTGTGTCATGGCCAGCTTTCCGTTCCTGTTCATCGAGTGTATTACGTGTGGCTTTGCTCCGAACATAGCTCAGTTTGTCTATTACGCTCCTTTTGTAGTCATTTTCCAGTTTGGCTGGGCTGCCACACAGATCAGCCACTTGTCATTTGCCAACGACTACACACCGTACAGTGGAGAGAGAGTGCGCCTCCAGTCTATAAGGTTTGTTTCATCAGATCAAGGATAGCAGCTCACTATATGAGAATTTGTGACTTTTCTGTACAAAAGTTTTTAAAAAAATGTTGGTGGCATTTGTTGATATTTGGCTTTGAGCATTGTAGCACATGTTTGGAATGCTATAAATCCCCCTGCTTTGTAATGACCTCTAATTTGCCCAAATGATGATTGGCTGTAACAGATGTTGCTGTAAAACTCTATAGAGAGTATAAGAGCTGAAAGGTTTTGCTTGCAATTTGTGTTGGTTTTAAGGGTTTTATCCTGGTCTTTAAAAAAATTGTTTGGAAGTGTTTTACGGCGCTCGCATCTGCATAAGGTCATATAAGTGCGTGGGTCACATTAAGTATTTTCAGTTCGTAGGAAATTTTGAATTTTGCGTGGATGGCGGCCGAAGCTTACTCTTATCGATTTTGGTCCTCCAAGGGATCTTTAAGCTCCTAGATTTTTCGCCCTTATCCGAGAAGGCTTGGTATAGATCTTATCTTCCATAAGATCAGGGGTGTGGCTGAAAGACAGCAGTAAGAAGGAGCCAAGGAGTAGCCGTAGAAAGGCTTCAGAAAGAGTCAGGAGCCCAGAGGGGGAGGAGACAGAAAATGGGAATGAAAGCAGATGATAGAACATTGTTAGAGAGCAGGAAAGAAGGTGAAAGGAGAACATTTTAGAGAGAAAAAATTTCCGCCGCTATCCCCTTTCGAACCGGGGACCTATTGAATGAGAGGCAAACACCTTAATCTCTAGGCCACGAGAGCTCCCTCCTGGTCTTTACTAGTTTTGGCAGTGGAATAAATTAGATAATGATGTTTGCTTGCCCGAAAAGGCAAGGTTGTGAAATGCACAAAGTAAAAGAAAGGAAAATAGTTCCCACTTTTTTGTGTTTTAAAGAATGTTTGTTTAGAGGATCTCTGTTTCCATCTCATTCCTGTTCTTAACATTATGGTGTAATTAGTCTTTAACACTCTTCCATCCATTTCTTTTAGGGGGGGGGGGGGGTGATGACTGAAAGCATGACAGACATATATTTAATCATTCTACAAAGAGTTAAAACTAATTTTGCAACAGCATTGTTACATATATTATGACGTGTATATATTTTTTTTTCTTATTTTTTCAGGAATTCCTTTACAGTTATGTCTAATCTCTCTGTGTATGGGATCTTTGTGTTACTATTTTACCTGGAAGGCAAAAGTAGTTCTGGTAGTAATGATGATCTTGGACCAGGTGACGGCCCTAAGTTCAGAGTAAGTTCTTCCACAATGTATAGAATCTATGTCTCTCTCACTGAAGAATTTCTTTTGTCATTTCCTTTATAAAATGTTTTTGTTCAGGTCATTGTATTTTTAAAAAAAATTATGCTTGCCCTAAGTTGATGACTTACACAAGGCAGGTTGCTCCAGACCCTGCCTGTCAGTGCCATGCTAACTTGAAAACATGATAAAAGCATTTGTACCTTTTCTTTCTGTTTCGCGCCTTGATTGACGCAATTAAGAATTTATACAATTTACAATGCAGGTTGCTCCCAACACTGCCTGTCAGTGCCAAGTGGGACGAGAGGAGACAATCAGCTGAGAGACTGACATGGTTGATAAAATATTTGAACTTCCACATGTAGTAATTGAACTCAAGTCTTATGTGTGCAGGGGGGAAAACTTTAATATTACGCACAGACACATATACGATACTAGTGAACCTGTCGGAATGGGGTCCACTCTGGTACAAAATTATGGTCATCTGTCCACCACCTTCTGTCAATTTTATTGTAGTCTTACAGAGCCCAGCTAAAATTCAGTGTGGCCAGCGATAAGTTTTTCCTTGAAAAGTGTTTATTAAATCTGTTCTGGTGGTTTTTATTTTAGCATGGTCATACAGGAAACGGATCTGTATGAATAGGGAAAGTGTTAAATAATTTTTAAAAAAGCCCCTTTTGACTTTTATTTGTCCTGCTAGATTAATTTTCATTACTTTATATCACATTTGGTACACTTTCTAAGTTTGTTTTGCTTTTAAAATTTTACCTCTCTCTAGATATAAGATATTTTATTCGATGGTGAAGCTCTAAAAATAAGGAGAAAAGAGGAACGCAGAGGCCAAGGATGCTTCAGGGTTGTTATCCATGTTTCCCTGAGTGCAAAGGCTCAAGAGTCATAATCCCACTGTTTGAGGGGTTTTCATCTCCGCCTCCTGTTGGCTTGTGTGAAGTGAATGTATGTATTAAAGCCAACTCGCTGAGGAAGGGGGGGGGGGGGGAAAGGAGTAATATCAGAGTATCTTAAACTGTACTTAAACACCAACAACACCACAACTTGTTTGTTACACCCCTTTTAGCTGCCATCTAGGCATCTTGCTCCTAGATGTGCTGCAGTGCTCACTAATGTGAAGTCTGTTGTCTTGTGACACTGCTTACCATTCTTTGTGAATCTGTTTTCCACAGAATCTTGCCTTGATCTCTGTGGGTCTTGGCACTGTGTTCAATGTTATCTTCTACGTTGGAACAAAAGAAAGACGAAAAAGTTCCTCCGACCAAAAGTCTCTCCTGGACCCAGAGCAAACTACTATTGAAAGATCTACTGTGCAGAAGTCAAAAATGCAGTGGAAAGACTGGTTGAAAGAGCACCAATTCTATCAGGTTGGTTGATTTAGTTTTAGAATGAGGGCTGAAGAGAAATGCCCACACACAATATCTATCATTAAGGGCCTGTCGCTTGGATAAGGCAAGAAAGATAGGCAGAAGTAATGGAGGAAAAGTGGTAAAATAAAGAAACTAGATTGTCCAGTTGCACCTTCAACCTCCTGCTCAGGTGAATAAGTTCAAGTGAATATTCTTTACTAGTAACTAGCTTAATTTTATCAAAACTCGATTATTGTAACTCCTTGTTATCAGGAATATCACTGGAGAAAGTTAAAAGACTTCAAACTATCCAAAACAATGCAGCACGTTTAGTTTTACGGAAAAGAAAGCGAGACTCTGCTAAACCTCTTTTTACGAACTTTGCATTGGCTTCCTGTTGAGAAAAGGATTGTGTACAAGTTGGCCACCATATGTCACAAATGTTTGAATGATAATGCACCATCATATTTATCAAATCTGTTAAGACTGCACATTCCAACTTGCAGTTTAAGATCATCAGCTGACAAAAAGAAATTTATTTTACCATCTATGAAACTTAAAACAATGGGTGAAAGGGCATTTGAATACCAAAGCCCCAAGATCTGGAATGCTTTACCAAGTACGTTGAGAGAAATCAAATCTTTTGATTCATTCAAATGTCAGCTGAAGTCGTTTCTGTTTTTAAATTAATAAGATGAATATTTGGAATAATTTTCTTTAGTCAGAACACAACGTTTCATGTTACTGTTGTATGTTGTACTGTATTGTAAAGCGCTCAGAGCCTGTGTACTTTATTCGGGGTTGAGCGCTATATAAATGTCATTTATTATTATTATTATATTCTCTCAGATAGAAGGCAAGCACAATTTTGCAATAATTGCCTTTCTTCCTAGCTTGGTTCCATTTGCTGTCTTAGTCTTTTCAAATGTAATGACAGTGATTTTTCTTGAACTGTTGATTCTTCTTCTGTGTAATTCATGGGTTGCATTACCTCTTTTGAGAAGGTACAGAGGCTAAAACTCTTCACACAAACAGCTGATGGGTTATTGTAGGGGGCCATGCATATGAGACTGTGGAGCATCACCTGTTCCACTGCACAGCCCTAAATGACATCAGAGCTACCCTTCTCCCTCCGAGACCTAACATAGACAACACACTCTATGGAACATTACAACAACTGCAGCAGACCTGCACTTATCACTACATGGCATTGGACAGAAGGGCGAGAGCCCAGCTGTTGCTGGATCGATAACAACAACAACAACAACAATTGTAGGGTGCCACTGGTAGATCCTACTTGTCTTCTTTTCTGCTGTTGTTTCTGTATTTCTGTCTTTCTCATTCCCTGTAGTAAATGACTGTTATTGTGTTGATGTGCTTTTCTTTAAATCAAACAAACAGCTTGTGCTTCTATAAATTTGTGGTATTGGATATTAAGTAATAAGGGAAAGCATGACTCTGGGCCAAAATCTCAGACATACAGAAAAGGAATAGGACCTGCAAGCCGACCACATAGACCTTTTGCTGTGTTTTGTAGTTATGCTTTTTTAAGAATCAACTACTGATTTTATTTTTTCATTAATGTGGGGCTGTTGGTTTCGAGCTTGTCCAACATTTGTGTGAGGCAGAGTCTGGAAGAGTTTTAATATATTTAATCCTCTGGAAATAATTCATTTCAACATTGTATTCTGTCAAGGGACCTAAAGCTCTGCCTTCAAAACAACTTATGAATATGTAGCAGGGGTTTTGTTGATCACAATAGTCATGGGCAGTTTGGTTGTGTCAGATATTGAGATATTGGCAGCAAGGGGACTCGGGTATTTCTAAAAAGTCAATTACATTTTAATAATCGTTTAACTCAAGACAACCAAAAATTTAGAGAATCGTTTTCATGATCTCACAAAATAATTTGTTTTGAAGTCACAAGTGATAACCAAAATAGTTTTTTCTTGCTACCTGAAAAATTAATGAAAATGGGGACAGACTATCTACATATAACCTTGATAATAGTCAAAACGATGTATTAACGACAGAGTGACTTTCTGTCCTTTTGCAGATTGCCCTCCTCTACATGACAGCTCGTTTGTACATAAACGTCAGTCAAGTCTACTTCCCAATGTACCTGACAGAGACTGTGAAACTTGACAAGGTAAGTCATTACAATACAAATTTTGGGAATGTCCAACCTGCATGTGTATGTAGATCTGTTTATGTCCTAAATGTGAAGAGGTTGTGTCTGTGCTGTAAAAATCATATGATCCAGTCAAAGCTACTTTTTTGTTTCACAGGAGAACAATATTCATGTCTAGAAATTGCTACAGTCCTTGGAATGATGGGTAGTCCGTGGACTTGTCCTTTGAGCCTGTCCAGTGAAACTTTGTTGTATCGATGGCGGTGTAAAAATAATCTACATTTTAAAAGAAAAATAAAATAGAGCATTTTGGTGGAGTACTGTGTGCATAGTGCTGGCCCCACCCTTTTCTCCTGTGGATCGTCTGATGTGGCCTTGCAAGCTGGTGTTGTGACAGTGAGGCTTTCTTATCGTAGATTTGTCCTCAAGCTTGACCCCTGAAGCATTTGCCATAGATGGATAACTGCAAGGCAGCTGGACATACTAGATGCGTGTCATTGCTCTTCAGTGACAAATCTTGGTTTTAACTCTGTCTGGGTATGTCCAGCCTCCCTCCTCACCAGAACCCTTGAAGAAACTGGTGGGGTACTGGTTTAGTTGCCAGTGACCTGACCCTGGAGCTGGTGGTTTTGTGTAACATATTACAGAGGCAGATCGGGATGGACATGACCTGATATACTGTGACCCACAAAGAGTTGAATACGGGGTCAAAATATGGTGTGCTCAACTTTTGTTTTATATGTATATGTGGAAAGATAGTAGTTTGTAATTATAATAAAAACTGCCTTTATATGGCGCATATCCACGCTCTAAAGCATGCTCTATGCGCTTTAGAACTATTTATTACCCCAGCAGACCCTGTAACACTCAGAAACATTATCGGCTTCCCAGGAGGCACAAAGTGCTAGCTGCTGATTACATGCGCTAAAACACTAACAAAATGACAAGATCTTTTGCTGCCTATAGCCGGATACCCATTCCCACCTGGGTGAAACAAGAAAATGAGTGTAAAGTGCATTTCCCAAGGACACAACGTTGTTCGGGTCCCTGACGAGTTTCAAACCCATGAACTTCAAGTTATGGGTCTGGGAGCCTAACCACAAGGTCACGGATGGTTTGAAGTGGCCTTATGGTGCAGTAAGGGTGGAAGACTAAGTGCATGTTGGCAGCTGTTAATGTATCAGCTTATCTATTTATCTTTGACGTAGGGTCAATTCTTTGAAGTGTGGATATCAAACATGTTGATGGCAGCTTGTTTCTGATAAAGAAAGCATTTATTGTAATCTATCAATTACTTTAGTTTCTAAACATGTGTCTTGGCTTGTGCTCTGGAGAGGGAGGCCAGACATTTCCTATTCTCATAGTTAAGTCACCTGACTCTTAATCGTATGACCTGAGGTGTGATTCAGTGCTGGGAAGGGTTGGAGATTGTATCATAAATAACAGACACTCAACCCTGTTTCGCTCTGTTCACTCAGCTGAAAACAGACATACTTTGCCGTCAAACAGGACAGAAAATGTAAGCACTAAGGTTGGGTATATAACATGCTGCCGTTTGTACACTCTCCAAACTCCCTCCCCCCATGTTGTACTGTGGAGAATATTCTTGTAGGCTCTTGATTTGAAAGCAATATCTGCTTTAAAATAGATGAAATTGTGACTTGTTCATTGGATCAAAACTGGAATTGACAAGATCTTAAGAGAACCTGCTAGTTGGTGCTTGTGTGTTCATTGGGAAAAGCATTCGTAAGATGCTGAGCCACCTGAATGGAGCAACAGGGAAAGGGGTCCACTACTGGTGGAATATTTCCCCCTACACCTTTTACATTTTCCCTTCACTTTATGCTTTCTATCTTGAGTTTAAGTAACAACAATAGTTTGAATAAGATTTTCTATGAGTTTAAATCACACCCTTTCAATCAATAACAATAGCGTTTTTTGGATCAAGTTTTCGTCTCAAGCTTGAACCTGCTTGTGTATACATATCATTCGTATTTGGACACTGTAGATGGAAGCCATTTCAGATGGTCACTGATGTTTGCACTTATCCCTGGACAGTTTGGTAAGGTAATGATAAAGTTCTTACGACTGTTCATTCATTATCTAAGGCTTAAGGGTCATGGGGTCGTCTGGTTTATCTCAATGTTTTTATAATTTGGTTACACGTGTTGTTGATAGTGATATTGTATGGGAAGGTCACCACAGTCACCTGAGATGGTGGACTCGTGATTTTGCAGATGATGATAATTTTTAAAAAACCTTACGAGATTGACCTCTTTTACCACTGAGCTTATCAATGGTCTTACAATATTATCAGCCAGCCCTTGTGACTGAACTCACTGAAGAGATTGCATTGGCCTTACTGTCAGTCATAGCAATATCTGTATTTAGAAAATCTCTAGCTGACAGTGCAACACCAATCAATAGTTTTTAAAAGTATGTTTTCAGTTCACTTTAAGCAGGTTATAAATTTTTGTGATGGTTTTATTAAGTGTTTATTTGTGTGTTTATTTGTGGGTTTTTTTCATCTGAAATATTAGCAATGAAAGGGAAAATAACCTTTTAAAAAGCAGATTGGAAAAGTTCACGAACTTGGCCATGACATGTTCCTGGTTATGGGAAATATGCAGACTGCTACTTTACCTATATCCAAGCCTTTAACCTATATTAAAGCATGTTAAACATTTGTTGATATTATTTCTTTCTTTCACTGAGTGTTGGATTTCTGATGATATCTTGTCTTTCCACTTCTTTTCTGTTTCTTCTACTGTCCTAGTCTGTTCCTGACAAAAAATGGCCACAACATGCTGACTGACAGTTACAGTTAATTACAACCACATCCCAACTTCATCAGCATCTCTTTTTATTCTTTTTCTTTCAGTGAAGATCACCTGTGCTGAGAGCTGTGACCCAGTGCGAATAGCGCTTGGGATTAAGGCTGAAAGGTTTGAGGATTAGATCCTGAAGGACCTCTAAGCTAGCTCTCAATGGTGTCCTTCTCTTTTTATAACTTTGTAAAATTTGGTTGATTTTTCTGTGTAAAGTAAGCCTGATGTGAAAGGTGAGCTTTAACAGCAGCATATTTCCATTGACTAGACATTAGATTATTTTACATCTTTAAAAAAAAAACACAATTGAATTTATTAATAACAATCTGTACCTCAACTTTGTCTCTGCTTGTTGTGATTGATATTCACTGAACAGTTACTTGGCTGGCCTGGCTTTTCCCAGGCTTGATTAAGCAAGTGGTTTCCTTTGTGTAGACTGTTGCATAAACTAGGCTTCAGAAAGGAAGTTTTTAAATATCTTTACTTAAAAACTGAAAGCAAAAGGCAGCCATACATAATTGATTGTCATCAGTTCCTTCTGTCACATAAGCCTTGGTAACATATATTTGCTGTCCTTGAAATGAGGGTTAGCAAGCCATTTATTTTTGTGGATTTATTCTGTTTACAGAACTCCATCGCCATATTGCCATTGGTGACTTATGTCAGCAGTTTCTTCATGTCTCTTCTGGCCCCAGTAATGAATCATTATGCAGGAAGAAAGGTAAGGATAGATGTGTATTCTTTTCATGTTTTTCTTGTTTTCTAAGATTTTTTTCCTTCTTCTCCCCTTCTTCTTTCTCTTCTCTGCCATTGCCTTTTCCTTCTCCTTCCCGTGTTTTTTTTCCATTTCTCTTTTTCTCCTTCTTTCTCCATTGCTGCTCCTCCCTAATTTTTTTCTTCCTTTCCATTACCAACAGTTGTTTTCCTTTTTTTTTGTTTTTCAGGGTGTAGCTGAAACTAAATACCATGTTGTATTTTTTTCATAATTGTACAAGCTGAATTTTATTTCTCTCCAATAGCCAGGATGGTACTTATGGGCCCCTTGTTGTCGAGTACCTCTTCTACTCGTTTGTAACATAGTCCATTGCATTTTCACAGTAGGAAGGTGTTTTTTTCCCTGGACAGTTTCATAATTTTATCATTACACTTACATTATGAAAGAAAAAGCAAGCAAATCTTTTAGTAAACTATGAGTCCCTTTTCTTTTTCTTGAAAGTTTGCCTTGTGTCCATTTTAGCTCAGTTATGGCTATTAGGCCTTATTTTGACAATGTTTGCCTGTCTAAAATGATCATCTTCTGCAGATCTCAGTGATTTGAGATATAGGAAACACTCCCTTTACATTACTCTTTTCACTGGCTCTCTTTTGATATTATGTATGATAAAGTCCTGTTAAAATTCCTCTTTTTCGATATCTGAAAATCCCTGTCATAGCAAATTCCAGTTTTTGTAGACTGAAACAAATTCTATTTGGGTGTAAGGGATCATCAATAATTTATATGTGACATCACTTTTGCTCAGTTTCCTCTTTTTGGCCACATTTGAATAAGCGCTCTTCTTGAAAAATTGCTTTGCCCCCCCCCCCCCCCCCCCCCCCCCCCCCCACCTAAAAGCAACAGTTTTGTTTTCATAAACATTTACTTATTACATTTAAAAAAACCCACTCATTTGTATTATAATAGCAACAAGCCCCCCTTTCACATGTGCATACAATTACTTGTAATGTCATGACTGTAAGTAAATACAATTTATAGAACTTATGAAAATATATTTGTTTGCTGTCCTCAGCTCAGCTACTTTATAGGTGCACTCATTGGCATTGCATCCTGCTTGTGGCTGTACTTTGTTGGTCACAGAGACTTCACTGTGTATGGCTGTGCTGTGCTTATGGGCTGTGCCAATTCATTGCTACTCATTACAGTCATCTCCCTGACATCAGATCTCATCAAACAGGATACTGTAAGTAAAATGTTATTTTATTTGTTTGTTTTCTACCAGCCTTGAACTGGTTGAAGAATGAACTTGTACACAAGGTTTTAAGTTGGTTTTGAATTTTGTCTGTCCTCTAGTCTTCTGTTATAGGGACAAAGTATTTGCAAGAACCTGAAGTATGTCTTGGAGGCAGTGAAAGTGCACCATCTTACAGATTTGCTTTTACTTTTTTTGAAAGGCAAAAAAGTTGGATATATTCGCTTCAAGCAAGCAAGCTAATGATAATTTGATTTTTAAAGATCTGGGTGTTTATTATGTACATTCCTTTTTTTTTTTCAGTACTGAATTGTCATTGTTGTATCCTTGAGCTTGTCTCTGTAACCCAAAACAAGACATGACTTAAAAACTTGTTGCTGCTACCTGTTATCATCTTGTTTTTCTTCTTCTCTTTCTGCTCCACCTCCTTTTTCTTCTTGTCTTCCCAAAGAAAGGGTTATCTCACTGTGATCTTTACCTTTCTTTTTCTTCCTCTTTTTTTCAGGAAAGTGGTGCTTTTGTCTTTGGAGCTATGAGCTTTACAGACAAACTTTCTAATGGACTTGCTGTTTTGTTGATACAAAAATTTCACCCTTGTGAGTAAGTACACCCAACATGAATTCTTCACATTTGTGTGTTGGCTGTGTGCTTTATTCCATGAAAAATGTATTAATCTCTGGTTTTACTGTGTTTTTCAGTTTTATCAGCATCTTTTATTGTCAAGCCTTTTACATGGCTGCATTCCTAAAAGTATATAAAAAATATATTGTATGTTTCTCTCTGTCATCATAGTTTGATCTTGTTTTATTCTATACATTTGGTTTTGAGGTCTTTTTGAAACAATTTACAAATTGTTAAAAGATAGTTGCCTCCTTGTTGATGTAATAAGCAATCACCAAGCTGAACTATTGGCTGAAGAATATGAGATGTGGAAAGAAATTGACTTGTTTGAGCATCTTCCCCTTAGGTCTTTCAGCTTTTCCAGATTCTCCTCTTTTGTTTTAAAGAAAGAAGGTCTCACTGACCTTTCCTTTCCTTTTGTTATACAGCAGTATCCATTTTTGTTTCATGCTGACAGTCTCATATTTTCAGAATTTCCTGACATAGTCTGAAAAAGACATTTTTCTCCTTAAAATCTTTTCCAGTCACTGCTTGAAAGGCCAGTGAAATTCTGTTTGCAGTTTTACAAAAAATAAAACCAAAGTTGTTGCACATTCGTACTTAGAAATCTGAAAAGCTGATTCAAAATACAAGAAAAGTTCTTATATTTTGATTAATTCTTTCCGTAAAGGATGACATCCCTTTCACTTTCCCAGCCAAAAAATCCAGTGTTCCTCAAGAATGTGAAAAGATTGTGATGGCCTTAAATGAGAATACTACCAACCTGTTTGAATATTCCTCATCTTCAATGATCATTGATGTGTCAGTCGTTGGTTTATTATACTCTTTAATGTTTGCCTATTTGAACCTTGTACTCCTTTCAAGAGTCTACTAATTTCTCTGAGTCAGATTCTGGCAAAATGTGACTGCCATTGTATACTTTTTACAGTCTTTTACTCTGACAGAAAAAAACCCTTGATTCTACATGGCTTGGGGTTTTATGAAAATTTCTGTGTTGTATGGACAGCTGCACAATGCTGGACACACGAACCTGTAGTTGGGTAGTCAAAGTACTCTTCTGTGTGGGTGTTTTCAGTTGATACTTGTGGAGTTGCCTTGCTTTTTAGTAGTCAAACTTTTAACTGTTGAGGAATGAGGCACTTGTTTTCTTCCATTATTGCATATTTTGGTGCTTTTATGAATTATGCGAGATGGAAATGTTCAGTAGCTTTTCAGGTTCTAGTTTTCTATTTGCTTCAGCCACATTACGGATACCGATGACCATTTGGATTTGAATAAGACGTACAGAGCAGCACAGAAACACTCACAGACTCACACTCGCACATTGCTATAAGCATTCACATTACGTGCTCATTCAAGTTTTCAAATAGGAATGTTTTGTTTGTTTTATCATCATAATGCAAAGCTAGAATTGAACCACATATGCCATGTTCTCTTCCTCAGCACCACAAATGATGTTTATGAGAATTCCAAAGTAAAAATGTTGGTGGCATTATTAGTAATGCATACACTATTTTATCAATACAATAGATACTGTTATAACCTTCAATGAGTTTCAAGCACTCTCAAATAAAATCTCAGTCCAAGAAATTCTAAATGTCTCTGGAAATATTTCAAGCTGAAACAGAGAGTATAGTATGTTGATAAGTTCATTATAAATCTTTTCTGACCTTTGATTGTCTATAATACTTTGTATTATAGGGTATTTGGAAAGACTTTTGCTTTTCTTTACAATTATCAGGAGAAATGCGCTTTTACATTCGGAACTGATTTTGGTAACTTTCTTGAGATGGGGTTGTGTAAGCACAGATCGAGTATTATGCATACCGACTCTTGCTATACTGCGGTAGTTTTCTATGCAAGTTATTTGCTTTTCTTTTGTCTTGTGTTCTATTTTGCTCTAGCGTTTCTGGCACTTGATGCTAATTTGTTCTTTTTCTTTGCCATATGAAAGAAAGATTCTGCCCTTTAGTGAAGTTAATGTCACGCACATTGCTGTTTCCCTTCAGTAGGTTAACCAGATGAGGGCAGTGCTCTATTTGTCTACTGATTTCCTTTTTCTTGCCAGTCTTGTATGATTCTTCTCTCATCTTTTCATGTTTGTTCTCAGTGACATACCCCTTTCACTCAGAGGGTGGTTAAAGGGTGCTTTGGTCAGGCGCTATCTGCTTTTTCTCTTTGTTTTCAGCATTTTTGTTGTCTTAATCTGCTGATGACAATAAATTTGTTGTTGTGATGAGCATCTAAATATTGCTCATATTAACACTGCCTTTTTCTTGCTCTATCGATAGTTCTGTCTTCTTTGTCATAACTGCAAGAGGTTGGAGCCTCTTAAATAATATTACAGTATTGAGAAGGGCGCATTTTTGCAATTTTTTTTTTCATGACTGTAAGACTTCCTTTCCCTTCACATAAGTGATATTTTTGGGGGTATTCCTGTACAATCTCGTCTGCTTTTGAACACTCTCATCAGAATCAACATTCTCTCAATTTTGCTGAAATATTGACAATTTTATTGTTTTTCAAAATATTTTTACTTCAGGAACTTAAATTTAGATAAGCTTTGATAAATGTTCAAGTATGGTGTCCTTGTCTTTTTCCCTGAAAATTCAGAGACTATTCAAACCCGTATATGACTGACATGTGAGTTACTGGATGACAGGATTGTGATATATTTTTATACTAACTCTTTGCCTCGCTACTCTAACCCATCTATCCTAGTTCCAAAGGCTTTACTTTAAATCTTTCATCAGTGTGGGATAGGTTGAGCAAGATGAGAAAGGGGGTGTGTGGATAGGATTTATAAATACTCAAACCTACTGCAAGAGGACCACCTGTCTAAGATGACTTCTTTTTTCCTTGACGCTGGATAGTGGTCTTGGACAGCTTCTGCTGTACATCTTTTGATTTTTTCTTTTATGCTGCTGCACAATTGTTTTGGGGTCTGTAGTCGTCGCTTTGCCACTAGCTTTCCTGCCTTGCCCGCTAAAATGTGAATTTAATGTGCTAGTGGGGAATGTATTGTGCTGAGAATAGTTATCTTTCTACATGGAGTTTGTGTTCCGCAAAGCCCTGGTTTGTACTTATAGAAAGGGATGGATTGAAGCAACCTTCCTACTCAATTTTCTCAATTGTGTCAACGGAGAGTGAAACGTCTGCAATTTTTTTCCACAATCTTTACTTGTTTTTCTGAAGCCGTCTTTCGGGGGTCAAATATGTTTTGTATTTAGTATTGTCTTGGTATAACACTTGAAAATCAGTTTGTTTTAATTTATCTCTGAGTAGGAGATGTTTTAAGGTTCTATAGGAAGGGAACTGAAGGTATTTCTTGTTATGTGGGTGGGTTTCCTAATGCTTTTCCTAATATATTCCATAGATATTGTGATGTCAAACACAAGAGTACACATTACACAATCAACACTATTAAAGAAAGCTTTAACACTAATTCTGCTTTGGAGCTTGAAAAGGAAGGAGAGATGAATTTTTTATTCTCATGATTGAATGAGGACATGCTGCCTTCTTGGAAAAGGTCACTACTCCTATTTGCATTGTTGCTTTTTTACCACTTTGCAGTCACACAGCCAGCAGTACAAAATACCCCAGGACTTCTCGTTTTCTTTGTCATTTGGCTGCTTGCAGATAGTGCTCTATAGCCAGTTTGCATTAAATGATTCTTACTGCTTTGTTGTACACTCAGGCTCTAGCTATCAAATATCCAATTCATTATGCAAAAATTCTTTAGAGAACCATGTTTGAGAAACAATGAATGACCCTAAATTATTATTATATATTTAAAGCTCACAGGGGACTATTGACTTTTAATCTCTTAACCCATGAGAGGATTTGGACATCACAACAGTTTTCTTCCAGCCTAGATTTGCAGTAGCAAGTTTTTGATTTTTCCATTTACAGAAGCTAAAATATTTGGTTGTTTTCTATATTCTTTGCTTATTCAGGTGGCCTCTATACTATTTCATGTTATAAGATTGGCTGCCGACCTGCTGTCACTCTAAAGGATTAAGAGTCACAATGTGTTAGATATTAATATTACAATAAATTCACCAGGGACAGAAAAGAAGTACATGGTATTTTTTGTAGACAATGCACTTTATTTGATAGTCTGTATCAGCAAAATACAATGTTTGTTGGAGCCAAAGTACTGTCCATTGTAAAGTGTGCAATGATTGCGTCATTATAACATTGTGAAAAAAGCATTTTACACTTGGTAGTCTTTTTAACTTGACCAAGTTGTTCAAATGTTCACAACTAAAAGGAACTTGACTTAAGATTGTAAACATTTAACATGATTTAGATTTAATAAAACTTGGGCTCTTTCTTCTCAGTATGTCAGGGCCATTCTAGGCAGAGTGGGTTCCAGCTTTTTCAGCAGATTGATGGAGATATGTGATAAAATAAACCTTTCCAACCAGGAATCACGTAATCTGCAAAGAGGGAAAGTGCCTAATTGTTATACCACAGACACCAATAAATTTGACTACAGGTTTGAGAGATATATAGTAAGGCCTCTCTGATCTAGTATCTATTTTCTAATAATATTCAACCCCCTGTCCCCTCCCATCTTGACACAAAAAAAAGAGGATTGTTCTGTTTCTTGACATTTAACTAATTGAGATAAATGCTTATTTACAAAAATATTGGCAAATAAATACTTTTTTTCTACTGCGATGCTATTAATATGGATATTCCTTTACTGATTGAGCCAATCACTTCTTCCCAGCTGCCTGCGTACTAAAAACATGATATTTTGAGACTACAGTTGTCCGTTCACTTTCTTATGCCCACAGTTTCTTGCAATTTTCTTTAAAAATTATCCATTGTGTTTTTCTGCTTTTTTACGTACAGTCTTATATTGTGACTGATCTTAAGGGTTTTTTGTTGTTGCAATAAACAAAGAAATGAAATCAGTATCGGCTTAAATTTTTGTAGGGCAGAAAATGTTCCTGAAGTTCAATAGAATTTGAAATCCATGTCCAAATTTCCAGTTCATTTCATAAAGAAATAAGTGAGATATAGAAGTGAAAACGTGTTCAAGAGAATGTGAACGGACAAAAGTAACCGTGATATAGATGATTTTACCATTCGCTGTTTGATATGAAGGATTTATTCCATAAGGGAAATATACAAATTGACTAGAGGAGATTTTCACAGGGAGTTATCACTCGCACTTATTCATGGCTAGACTGCCTTTTTTATATTTAACAGAAGGTTGTGGGCTAAATTTATGTACTATTGTTCTGAATATTGAATGAGGTCTGAAATCCAATAAGATTCTTTTGGACTTATTTCTCCTCGAGACCGATCACACGAATTGATGAGTCAGTTTGTCACCTCATCGTTTCACCTAAAAGAATAGTGGTGTTAGAAATGGCTAATGCATTAGATGGATAAATCTGACGAAGGAAAAGTAAAAAAAGAGACATACACTGTATTTCAAAAAGTTCTTCAGAATCCAGTTTTACAAAGAGGCTAGAAAGATATAGTTTTCTAGTAAAAATATTAAAACATGTCTTGCTTGAAATATCCTGCTTGAAATGAAGGAGGAATTTTTTAAAGGTATTGAATAAACATTAAAATATTTTCTGGGGGGGCTTAAAATCTTTTATCAGGTGGTGCTCACATCAACTCTGTCCTGTCTCAGATGGACAGCATGGATGACTTTTTGTCAAAAGAGAAAAGAGATGTTTATTACCTCGACTAAAATAGCTAGGGAATAAACAAAGTTGTTGATATCCCTCCCTTTATGTTTTTTGAGTTTTACTTCCTCTTTGTTTAGCATGTACTTCAGAATCAATTGATTTTTCTTCTCAGAGGTTTCTATTCTTCTTTGTACTTTCTATCCAAATCTAAATTGAGTTGATGACTAATTCATAATTTTTTGCTGTAGTAATTTGTTCTATATTTCTTCCAATTTTTGGCAATTCATTTGTTATATTTATAATGGCAATTTGTTTTTACCACTCCTGTTTCATATTCTGTTCTGTTGTAATGTTTCCCTTATTTTGCATTTCAAACTACATTTTTTTCCCCTCTTGGATTCCAGGGGCTGTTGCCCAGCTTGTGAGCCGTACTACCGCTATGTGCAGAGTACCATACCTGGGGGTGCTCTGATAGTGGCACTTATTGCGCTGGCTACTCTTGGGCCACAGATTATTGGAGAAAGGAGACTACGAACCAGTGAGTCATCTTCTATTATGTTTAAGGTTACTGTAATGGCTTTTTACTGGAAGGTTTCATTGTCATGTCTGTTTCAGGAAGCACCAGGACAAACTCATGATGAAATGTGTGTCTTCAAATACGTTAAAGTGTATGGTGACCGTTTAGTGTAAGACTTTGTCATATGCCATTTTGAAAAGTGACATATTATGGAGTCATACACTGATCAGTCGATAGGTATATTGGAAATCTGATTTGAGCATATTCTCCCCCCCCCCCCCCCCCCCCCCAAATCACCTCCACCTCCACACCATGCTTGTTTTGGAATCTTATCTGTTGTTTAAGTTTATTCTTGTTGATTGATAATGTTGTACGGTTTTTCAAATTCTTGAAAAGAGCTTTTCTTTTTCGCAATGACAATGTGCAGAGGAGAAATTGGGCCTTGTGATTTATTGCGTATTAAATTGTAACTAGTTGTTTCCAGACATGTTTTGCTACAGTGTGTGTGGAGTGTGGATAGCAGGTTTTTATGAGTCTTTTTGTTGTTGCCGTCCTTCCCCATTTGAATTTGTATACATGAATGTAGTAATGAACTAATTAATGTAGTAATGAGCTGATTATTCGTGACCTCAGTGCTTTCTTGTTGTTTCCCCGTTTTAATAACAATGAAAACAGTTTAAAACAAAGAGTGAGATTAAGAAGAAATCACATTTTCGCTGTAAAAAGATACGACAAGAAAACGCTGAGGTCGCATAATCTGTTTGCACAACCTTTTATGGGACTTTGTTGAGTTTTAATGGCAAAAGTGGTACATTTCAAACTCTTTGACCTTTATGTGTAGATAGTTTGCAAGTTGAACCTTTTTCTTTCTCTTGAAAGTTGTTTTTGAAATATTTTGTTTATGTGGTATTGTGACTGGCGTTATTTCAGAACCCAAGTTAAAATACACTGTTGAGCGAACAACTACACAACTGTAGACTGAAACTTTGGTTGAAGATTGGGTAGGCTTCAAAGTGCTTTGCCAAGTGCGTTCGTGTATCTCGTTGCTTGCTTTCAAGAAAATCTCTCATGAGCTGCCAATCTTTAAAAAAAAAAAGCAGTAACAGAAAACTGTAACCCTCCATGTCTTCTTTGCGCATAATGATGAAGACAGTTGTTTCTTGTTCCTGTGTAACATAAGGGCAGCTCCACTGTGACCACCACAGTGACCCCGGATAGGCCAAGCAGATTGAAGTTGGCTCTATACTTTATGCAAAAAAGCTTTGGCAAGTGGTACTGGCAGCTTTGATAAAACGCTAAACGTTTTAAGATATAGTTCTATGATTCCCTGCTCTTCTACTTACTCTTTTGACACTTGTGTGGTATGAAATTTACATTAGGCCTGCTTATGCATTATTTATGATTTATACACATTAATTTTGTTGAAATGACTTTACAAACGCGTTTCTGCTTATGATAGTTTACAATCCTATAATCCTTTTGATTTTTTTTTCTGTATTATTTTTATTTGTTATTGTGAGTGGTTTCTTTTTATAATTTCTTACTTTTTATTTCGGTTATTTTTGTGTTGCTTCATCTGTCTGTAGACACTGAATCAAAAGAAAGCCTTGTAGATGCAGATTCTGATGCTTGCCCACGTATGTACTTACTAACCTTTGCAAGATGGCCTTGCATTTCACATGTTATTCTATACCCCAGTGTACTATCCCTCTCTTAGCATGTGTCTTATTCATGCTGTCAAGGTCACTTTTCGGTTGCCTGTCTTTGAGAAAGGCGACTCATTGAACGCGCTGTTTTAAAGTTTGCTTTGACTTTAAGTATCTCAGTGAAAGAAATTCGGACAAATTTTCATTTGATAACAGGAGTAAGCCCTTTTGCTTGTCTGTTGAATTTGGTATTAAATCACGTTTTTCATTTTTTCTGTAAACATAGCAAAATGAAACAGGCAATATGCATGTGACGTTGACGGTACATCAGTTTTTTTTATCTCAGGTCTTGATGTTGTTTTTTAACTTCCAAATGTAAGGTCGGCTAAATGAGGTGCTTGTTGGTAACAGGATAATGATGAAAAATCACTTGAAATAATGGGGAGAATCGGGTGTGAGGCTAGCATAGGTTATGATACCTGAGGGGAAATTTATGAGCTATTCATGTGGTGTTTGATACATGAATGCAATGCTGATGTTTTTCACTCATGTTCTGTTTTTATGTTGGGATGTTTATATCTCACTAAAATTGGCACAAATTTAGAAGAAAAAAAATGTAATTTGCATTTCTTTTTTTCTTAACAGATTTTAAAGACAGCTAGGCCTATTTTACTTTGACTAGTCACAAAAACATATTTTAAATTCATACTTACATGATTATGTGTCGTTCTGTTGAGATTAATATCACACCACCTTACATTCTGTAGTTATTGTCATAGTTCCAACTTGTGTGTGTGTGAGAGAGAGACAGACCGACAGTGTGTAAGTGTGTTTGAGAGAGAAAAAGAGAGAGAATTTGTGTGTGTGTGTGTGTGTCTTTATGTTTGTGTGTATGTAAGACATTTGTGTCACGACGCGGTGGAATCAGGCTCTCGTCAATTTTGGGGCATATGAAGTTATTGGTATTATCGTAAAGCCTGTCCATTTGCCTTGTTTGTGATGAAAAAAATATGAATTTGTCTCTGATACAAGTCAAGATATTGGCGATTGAAGGAGGTGGGGATCGTCTGGTTTCAGATGTAAAATTAGCGAGAAAATGGCCACTAAAGTTGAGTTATTTATTTCCTTAGTTTGAGAGTCTGTGGAAACTTGAAAATTTACATCTTTTATGCCTTTAATCAACGTTTTTTAAAGTAAAATCCGAACCGAAATGTGTTCTTTAATTAAAGGGCAGGAAAGGTGTTGAGCCAAAAAAACAAAAATAGAAATTCAATAAAAATTCCCAAACCTGCAGGACCAACTTTACTTTTTTTTAATAGAGTAAAAAATGTTATTCATCTTTAAAGATTCAAAGACTGGTTGACCATAAACAACACTCTTTTATGTGTCCACGTATTTTAAAATTATTTTTAAAAAAAAGAATGATATCTCATGAGAACTAAAATATCTCTCATTTGACTTTGTTTCATTGTTGTATAAGAAATGAGCACCTCTATGGATATAAGGATCAAATTTTAACAAAAATGTAGTAATAATACCATACAATGTATGCATTGCACCTTGCTGATTTCGTTTCTGGTTTTGCCCTCCTTTTCTTTATTCTGTATTTTTCTGTTAGGATTGTTGCCTTTCCTTGGGTACGAGACGTCAACTTACGTTCTATATGTCACTTATTTTCCTGACATTTACTTTTAGATGGCTCTGTCACCCTGCTTCTTATTCTCTTTCTTGGGAGAGTTTGAGGGCATCCTGGACTCTGACAATGTTCCTGTCACAAACACATGGAACACATATTTGTACAATACATATTTTTACAAATTTTCACAGAATACCTTTCTAAATTGCGTGCACTGTTGGGTCAAGGTGTCTCAGATTGTGGTGGAGGACTGTTGTGTAATTAGCCATTGTTTTATTAGCGCCAGTAGTTAAAAAAACCCCGAGGCATCTACTTTATTATATTTACAGGTCACAACTATCTTGTTCTCTTACATTTCTGGTGGCATTTTTCCTGTTTTTCTTTTTACATATTCTTCTCCCTGTCCGTCTTGTTTCTCTCCTCCTCCTCGTCATAGATGTGATTTAGTTAATTCAGTTTTGGACATTGTTGACCTATCTGACCTATATCTTTTACTAAATTTACTCTCCCCCCCCCCCCCCCCCCCCTTTCGCCAACACTGTTTTTCTTTCAACCTTTATGGAATTGTTAAGAGCCAGAATCAGACCTGCGGTAGAGCTAATAACATATGTCAGACACAGAAACAACCCTAAATATATTATGATACAACAATATTGACAACTGTAAGAATCTACGAACAAGTCTAATAAGGGCAACAAATAACTGTATGCCTTTTATTGTGAATGTATCCCACCTTTGATGCTGGATGTCGTGAATTGTTAAAAAAATATATATTCTGAATATTTAGTTTGCATGCCTCAATATTTTGATATATTGTTAGTACTTTAACATTCACACTTTCTTCTTTTTTGGGGGGGGGGGGGATGTGTTAAAAAAAACCCAACTCACTCTTCTCAATTCACTTAAATTAATGCAGATATATAAAATAACAAGGCCCACCAAAATAGTGCACATTCATTATGTTTCATTAGAGACAAACATTTCTAGGTGTTGCCCATAGTTTTGTTCTCTATGTGAAGTTTAAGAGATATGAAGTAGCGTAGAAAAACCTCATCAAGACTGTTCTGTGCCTACATAATACTTGTCCTTGTATTGACTGCTTAATATAAAACTCTGCCTTATGCAATTTTGAAAAGTGACACATGATGGAGCCTTACAACCAATATGTCTTGTATTACTTTGGACTCATAAATCCCACAGACTAATGTTTTTGTCAGGGCTCTGCTGTTGTTTTCTGTGTATTTCTGTCCTTAGACCATTGGTTTTTTAAAATATTTTTCATGATCTGTGTTTAACTTACGTTTTAGCTGTATTGGTCTCGAGGAAGTTTAGTTATCTGTTTATGGATGGGATAAATGGTGTATTTTCATTGGCAAACTATTCCAGTCGAGCCACTTTTACAGAGATTAAGAAGTGAAGTTCTCTCACCAGGCCTGGGGACTCATGACACTTCATCGGAGTGACGACCAGGTGGAATAGTTACTCTTGCTGTTCACTGTCATGGCTTTCAGTGGATTTTTAAAATCTGTTTCATGTGGAATGGATGTATGGGGGGATAAGACAAAGATGCATGTTGATAATGGTACTAATAATTGCATTTCCTCTGTGTGGTTGCACCACCTCTGATCTTGATGTACAGATTATATGACACTGTTAAAGTCAAGAAGTTTAGTTTAATTTTGTCACTGACATCCTTCTATATTGAATCGTCATTGAATGCTCAATGAATTTCAATGTTGAATGATGGGCCAGTGCAATTTTTGACTTTGACAGGTCTTGTAAGTACACCATACTACTGTTGTATGCAAAGTACTACTCAGTGAGTAAACTGTTTAGTGTAAATTGTTTGTCATGTGAAATGTTGGCACTCTATTTATAGTTTAGAAACACACTTTGGCGTTCAGTGTCAGATTGGTTATGTGGGTATTCGGTTTGATGTTGGGCTGACTGTGCTTTCAATGAAGAAGAAAGAAATGACAAGTAAACTTTGATTCCTTCTTTCAGAAAGTACTTGATCTACAAAGCATATTATTATGTAGAGCCCCATTTGGGAGGTTGTGAAAGCATGCTAGGAAGATGCTTTTAATTTATCTAAGAATACGGGGGTGCTCAGGCAATGTGTACATATTACACTATGTACACATGTTCTCTTTTTGACATGTATATATAATATGAAAAAAACCCTGACTTGCTGCAGAGAATGGTACTTCAAAGTATGGATTTTGACCCATTAGTGAGTTGGATGGTCCTTATCATTGGTCTGTCGGACACTCCTTTTCACTGATGAGTTTGACAGTTGTTATCACTGGGTATGCATGACAATGATTGTACTATATGAGGAAAGAAAAAAGCAGAGGGCCAAGAGATTTTTGCTCGAATAGCATTAGTTTGCATTTTTTTAAAAGCCCTCTTCTTTTAGGTCTGTATGTAGATCTTGTAGTGTTGTGATGAGGGTGACTGTCATGATTTACTACTATGGGTTCATAGGGGATTTTTTTTTTTAATCAGAGGAGTGGGCAGGGTCTTGCAGTGACTATTTTGCACAGGAGTACATGTTTTTCTGCTTCATGATTGTGGATACCACTTGTACTTGTAGGTCCCACTTCTTTCCTTTTAAATTTGTTGTTTTAATTTGTCTAACATGCCATTTCTGCTTCCTTGTTGTTCATAATTGTACAGATATGCTGTTTTTGACTAAACACAAATTTCTAATTTTGCATGATTGGAATGATATTTTATGGGTAAAGATCTCGTCGATTGCCAGTCTCTCTCTCTCCTTTTGGATATCATAATGAGTCAGAAATGGAGACATATGGGGATTTTGTTATTGTACCTATTGCTTACATTGAAATGATTCATATATTGGTACATATGGGGTTTTTGTTATCCTTCTTGTCTCTTACAATGTAATGTAATAGATATATATGGGTACAAGAGGCTGAGTTGTCCTATGTCACATGCATAGATTTACACTACTTTTGAATTATCCACAGAGATAATAACAGCTAGGCTTTTCATTATTTGTAACTTTTCTTGGTGTAGCTTTGCAGCTGTAGTCCAGCTACAAATAATTCTAAATGCTTGTTTTTTTACTAAGACTTCTGGCTTTTGGTTGTAACACTGAAATAGCACTCACCTCTCTACAATCTTTCACTGCGATTTTTATGACTTTATATGTCTTAGTTTCAGAAAGTTTAGATAAAATTGTTTTGTTTCATGGGTTCAGTGATGGGTTTGAAATGGCAAAATGGATATCAGTTTTATGCACGTCCTGTATTTATTACAATGCAGAGTGTTATGATTAAGTGAAATGTTGCGCATGGAAATTTGCACATTTGTAGATAGTTGTGTTCTCACCCTCTACACACAGGGGGCTAATTGATGGTTTCTTACCTCTTGGTTTTTTCTTGTGTATTTCTTTGGGAATAGGATATTTATCTTTGAAGGATGTGACAGTTTTCTGAAAAGACTCATCAACTGATAATAGTGTAATAATACTCCCCCCCCCAATTAAATTTTGGGATAAAAAATTTGTGGTCTATTTAGTGATGCTGTTTCCATTTTCTTTTTAAAAGACTGATCTACTCTGATAATTCTGTCTGCCAGACTGTCACTAATATGAACCCCGAATGTGTGTTAGTTCAACAAATGATTATGTAAAGCTTTGTTACTTTTGTACTGTAAAGCTCACTTAGCAATTATATCGGCATGTACAATGTACTTATATTCATATGTAATATTTGAGTTTACACTTTTATAAACTGTCTTTAAGTACTTAATTAGATACTAAATCTGGACATGTAGAAACTCGCACAATTATCATTTAAAGTAGTGTGACATTTGTCATTTGTACCTTAAGTTGATTATATATTTACATTGATTCTTCAGATATTTACACAAACATAGCTTTGACTTAAAAATCTGCGTTGTATTTTTTAATTTGTTTCAAAAAGAGCCAGAAAGACCAAATGCTTCCTCCAGCTCTTTCAGTTTTTCCTCTAGTAATTGACTGACAACTACCCTCATCATTTGTCCAACTTTTACTCTTGGGGCTTTGGTGGTCCAGTTTTGTTGTGTGGCAATTCTAGAAATAATTTTTAAAAATATCGGTTTTGATTTTTGCTTTTGCTCTAAAGTTTGATGATTGTTTTGAAAATATTCTGGACATGGACTTTCATCATGGAGTTTGGGTTTTTGAACCTGACATTATAACTTTTGAATCGTTTTTTCATCCATTGGTACTGGAGAAAACCAAGGTATCACAATAAAATGTTAATAGTGGAATAGATTTTTGGTTGTTTTTTTTTTTTTAGTTTTGACCTTTTTTCAATGATGTCTTTTCTCCTATGTTTCAGAAATTGAAGTTATGGTCAGCCCTAGCCAGTATGATCCTTCACTTAGGGAAAATGGCTTTACCGACAGTGTGCAATGCTCGTGTGGAGTCTTCTACACTCCTCCCAGCTCATGTTCAACGTGCGGAAAACCTCCACAGTACGGGGCTAATGGCACCATCAGGCACCACGCCGACATACACCACGGCTATGACACGGATGACACAGATGATTCAAATGAGATCGAGCCTCTCGTGAGGAATGGCAACATCAATACTCCGGAGAAAAGCATATTAGCTGATCACTTATATACAGAGGACAATAGCCACCACCACCCGTGTGCTTAATGTTACGGGCAGCTATTAAAAGGCCCTGCACTCAGGGAAATTGGTGCTTTCAATAATTTATATCAAACTCTGGAAAGGTATTTGTTACTGGTTTGATTAGAAAGATCAGGACCTGTAGCAGCGTCTCATGTTAAAATTTCTAGTAATTTCTTTTTCGTGCCAACTCTAACAAATACTTTGTACATGTGATTGGTAATTGCTTGTTTGTTCAGATATTTCTAAAACTGTGGCGTAACTTTAAATGCCTCTTCATTTCATAATGTGTGTAAATAGTATTGTTGTACAAAAGTCAGTTATTTTGTCATCTTCTTGTATCATTTGACTTTTTACAGTCAATGGATGAATGCAGGGGAAATCCCTTAGGGTTTGGCAGCGCAATAGGCTGGCTTTCGTGGAAATAGGGGTAGCAGATCAGTTTTATGCAAATATGTTGCTTAGTTAAGTGGCTAACAACACTTTGAAACTTGTCAGTCAGTGGGATGATTCTTCTCCAGATTTTGTTACAGGTGTCTGTAATGGATCTTTTTGACTCGACCAACACATGCATGCATGTGTGCGTGCGTGAGTGAGAGATGCATCTTAATCTTATACCACCCCAGCAGATTTTCCTCTAGTTTTCTGATTATAAAAACTGGTGTAGTAGTAGGTCAGTGCATGACAATGAAGTGTGCCACAAACTTCAACTCGGTCAGAAATGACCTGTTGCTCTACACACATGCCAAAAAGATGTCCAGTAACATTGAAATCCATTTACTCTAAGATGGAGATTTGTTAAATATTGCTCTATTTGTATGAAACCAGTGCCAAATGAAAGTGCTAAGGTTGTAGAGCAGTTGGTGGTGGAATTAACTCAGATTTTTAAAGATGTTCCTTTAGTATCTTTAAATCATGACCCATCACACATACATTCATATCATGTAATATACAGAAAGACGTAGGTCTTGGGCCTATTGATGTGTGTGATAAATGTGGGCGAACAGTTCACTTGTAATGCCTCTCTCTGGCCTGCAATCAACACACATGCATTCTTGTGTCTTTTTCTTCCGTTTCGCTATCACGAAGTGAGTACAACTTGATGATTTGGTTTAATAGAGGGCTACTAGTGAAAATTCATACGACATAACCCTTTAATTTCTTTTCAGTTTAGAAAGAGGAGTATTTCTACTAATCAGTTGTTTTTGTACAAGTGACAAAGAAAAGAAAAAATTGGAGATACTATTTTTTTTTTCTGTTTATCACTGTTTTCAGATTAAATGTGTTCAATTTAATCGGACTGCACTGTATTTAGCTTCAATTTGTATACGCTTGTTCAAATCAGTGGCCATGTAAGTGGTGTCTGTATCAGGCTCTTAAAGTTTGACTTTATTCAAAGCCGCAATTCATGCTTATCTGATGAGAAAACTTATGCGGCCATAAACTCCCAAAATAGGAAAATGTAACAGCCCTGCTTTTAGTGTATAATAGCCAAAGTTGATCTGCTGATTTCCTGTGAATATTTTGTACAGTCTGATACTATCCTGGGTACAGGGTGCAATACTGTTACTGGACACTGGTGATGTCATGTCACTTAGGCAAAGCAAGTTTGTTGTAATCTGTGTTTTTACTAATGGACTGCAGGCAGTAAAATCTTAACATTCCAATGTCAGCTATGTGCCTTATTTGATGTGATAACCTTCGTAGATGCCAATGTTTTGATAATATTTTGAATTATTAAATGTTGGTGGTGTGTTTTTAAAACTCTGTACGGCATAGAATACCAATTTTATTTTTTTGGGAGTAAATTTGCATTTCGTCGAGTACCTATTTTCTTTTTGGGGTATGATGGCCATGGGAAGCTACTGGTCAAGTACTTTGAGTGCCAAGACTCTGAGGAAAAAAAACTTACTTGCAGTTTCCTTGGTTTAATTGTGAAATGTAGCAAGGGCATCATACCTTTGTAATTGTGTATCCAAACCAAAATACATTGTTTTGTTGTTTTAAATATGTTGTGATTGAAAAGAGCTGGCCTTGTGTTCTTTTAATTGAGTTTTGTGTTCTGACTTTTTTTTCTTTTTTCTATTGATTGGGATTTTGTTTGTTTTGAGGAGATTATATCTCTGTCATTCTGATGTATTAATTGTAAATGAGAGATAAGAACTAAGAAATGTAATGACAGAGAGACAGACAGAGCAGTAGATGAGTATGAGAGAGAATGAGACTGAAAGAGCGAGATATAGGAAAAGAGACTCAGACAGACAGACCAGTGGATGGGTGCAACAAAAAGAGTTGTTAGTATAGTGGATGAATATGAGAGTGAGAGAGAGAGAGACAGAGACAGGGAGACAAGAGTGGTAGATGAGTGCATTAAAGAGAGTTGTGTCGAAAGAAAGTTTAGGAAGAGACTTGGAGAATTATGGCTGCAGAATGAAAGTTTCTTTGCTAAACCTCCTGAGCTAAAGTGCTAAATGAAACGTGTGTGTGGTCTTGAAAAGAGAGTGTGTGTGTGCTGGCCAGGATTTCTCAACAGGTAAGGGGAGGCCACCTGATAGGCTTTGAAGTGTCGTCTAGTAGTAGTAGTAGGCTGCATAATCTTCGTCATCATCATTGCCTGTCTCACCCTGGACCAGGGTATAGGCCACCGACACTTTTTACTTTTCCTTATCTTGAGCTAGCTTCTGGACAATATTTCATATCTTCCCACAGTTATCATACATTGATATACTATAATGTAATTTGTTCTGTCCTACTTCACCTATAGGTAGAGAGGGTTTTTTTTCTCTGTTCTCAGAGATGCTTTTTTCTTTTAGTTTTTGTTTTGAGGGCATTATTCTGACCTGAAAGAGAGAGTAAGTGAAAGTGTTTAGTGTAAGGAAGATCAGTGGCTTCAGCTATGCTTGTGAATATTTCAAGTGTACGAGACGGGCTTTGGAGCAGAAATGTTTTTAGTAATACAGGCAAATTTTGGTTGTGTTGCAATATTACCAATGTGTTTCAAACTCGTAATACTGCTTGCAAACAGATGCACAATTTTTTAAAATATTTGTTTCCTGTCTTTGAAAAATTGTTTTTAAAATGAGACATCACAATGTTGTGTGTCTATTTAGTTTGCTGTCTAGTTAGTCTCCTTACACTTTTCTCAGTCGTGCAAGCACACAGTCTGCTCTGTTGTATAATAAGTGTAAAGCGATAGTGTGGACAACCCTGCATTGCTTCTCCAGTGGGCCATTCTTGACATTTTTCCTCTTTTGCATGATGCTGTTAAAGATGTGTGGTAAATTAGAGATCCAGCCTCTTCACTCAGAGCTTGTTTTGTAGATAAAGAGTGATACTCTAATGTCACACCATACATTATGATATAACGCTGTCACCGATAGAGTGTAGTATGTTTCCACGCCTTGTTGTGGGTGGTTGGTGGGTACTCTGTTGTGGTTTGTTCCTTCTTTCCTGTCAAACATTTATTGTGGGTATCTCTCCTCCTTCTTTTCTTAATGTGTTACTCTCTAGTAACATCTCTAATCTGTCCTATTTGTGTTGTAAACGCTGTTAAACTCTTACTAAAACTAAACCACTCTTTGCTTCTTACTGTTGGATAGTTTTTTTTTACGTGACACTAAATTTGAAGTAGGGTGACATCTATTAGGCTAGACCTGAGAACATTATCTCTAGTGCTGATAAATATACTCTGAGGCTATTTTCCGTTCTTATATATAGATCTAAATAGCTTTTTTTCCAGCTCTGTATAACTAATAATGTAAAGATGGGTGATGTGAGTTGCTGACAGGGAGCAAAGTTTTTGATAGTGCAATGTCATTTCAAGACCAGCAGTGTGAATGCTGCTCTGTGTTTACTAAATGTAATGGTACATGTAAAATTTTAGCTTACTAATACCACTAGGAAGAAGCTTTAACTGTTTTTGTTTGTATTATTGTTAGCTTTTTTTAGTTCCATTTTTGTAACAACAGTCTTTGATGCATTGGAGAGTAAACGGCTTAAATACTTTGCGTGAACATTGTAGGCTACCGCATACACATGAATATCAATCAATGAATATTCTGTGTTTGTGTGTATGTATTTTCACACCCAAACAAATATAATTGTTTTGGATCACTTAATGATAGGTCAATTTGATGTGGTGAAAGTAGGTGGTTGGCGGGTACTCTAGTGTGGTCTGCTTCTTCTTTGCTGTCCAACATCTATCATCCTTATCTCGCCCTCTTCTTATTTTTGTTTGTTACTCTCAAGTCACACCTCTAATCTTTGGCAATTTTATGGTCTTATTGTGTTGCAAGTGCTGTAAAATGCTTCCAAAAACAAAAAATGTGTAGTGAAATAGGTCTACCTTTTTTGCTTTCAATTCGCGTATCCATATAAAGTGCATCAAATCAAAAGTAGCAGTCTGACAGTATTCAGAAGTGTAAAGGAAAGCTTCTTGAATTTTGCTGCGAACAAATCTTTTTTACTTTTGAATTTGAGCAGATATTATAGGGTATTCACCACAGATATTATGAAGTAGAGGATAGCATTTGGTTGCTTTGTGGCTTTAAGAGAGTTGAATCCTTGTAAACAGCGATCTAGGTAACTAAGATTAGTAGTAAGAGGAGAAGGAGAAGTTACTAGTTAAAAATACAGACTTTTTTATATATCAAGAAGACTTCTCTTTTGCCTGGGTTAGGAAAAGATGGAAATAAATGGGCCCTTTTTGTAAGACTTACTCAAAACAGTGAGGGGAAAAAAAAGTGTCATGTTGATGATGTATTTCTTTCAACAATTTTGTCCAACAGGAAATATGTATACCTTTTTTCACATTCGTCTCCCACTTGATTTTCACAAGCTCGATTGCTTGCACATGGATATCTTTGTCTTGTGAAAGTGTAGTTTGATATTCTTGTATCTTCTCCTTGTAAAATATTGTTCTTAGGTTAATGAACTATGTCTCAGCAGTCTTAATCTTCTCAAAAGCCAAAGTATAAAGGACTGCAGTGTCTCTATTATACACTTGAATTTTTTAAAACCATGCACGATGCAACTCTTAACAATGTGAATTTAATTTAAATTTTCAGTCGCCTCTATTTTGTAAACCACTGTACAATGACCAAGCTTATTCTAGATAAAGTACCGGTATACTTTATGGGTTCAATGAAATGATCACTATTACTTTTCCGTCTGTTTTATTACTTTTCATAGTGTGTTTCTGTAGTTTCATTTCAATTTTTTCTTTAGTTGCAAATGTTTATTGGTGTTGTGATTTATTTTATACACAGTTATAATTTTGACAACAGCCCTAGTATTTGGGCACAATATATCCTTTGCTTGCTTTATTTTACCATTTCTATGGACCAGATTTCTCAGTGAGTATTTACATGTACATATATGTAAGGGGTGGGCTGTGATATACAATGTGCACTCACTACGTATTAAGTGCCCTGATGGGGACTTAGACTTTTGAATTTGAAAGCCCTAGCATGAGCCATAACTGGAATCTACCTTCTGAAACAACAAAAGAGTTTGAATTGGACAGTGTTTTGTATTGTATTATTATACTGAAAAAAGTGCAATCATTTACCTGTTAGTTTACCTTGCCAACGTGGATATTGGATGGTTCCAGTTCCTTGTGCCTTTGAACAACTTTATCAAGATTGCCTTTTTTCTCGAACCTCTGAATGATTGTCATTTCGCTAGAGTGCTTGTTTCAACTGATGTACGCTTGTGAAGAAACTATGGGTGTTTAGCTTGTGATATAAGTTCTCGTTTGTTAGTTGCTTCTTAAATCTAACCACATTGTATTTACTCAAAACTTCTTGCTTTGAGTTCAGCAGGGCACCTGCTTGATCATTGAGGTCTCATTTTATTGTTCAGCATCCTACCTACTTACATTCTTTTCTGTGCATGTATAGGTTGTACAGTCATTTTATTATATATATTATATATATATATGTACTTTGACCAAAATGTCTCCGATTCAGGGAAATTCTTCCCATCTTTTTATCTTACTGTTGCCCAATGCTAAATGAACATCCTTGTGAGTCTTCTTTGTTTCTCTTAAATCTAAGCAAACTGACATATACAACAAGAAGAAACTTTTGCTTTGTTGATAATAGTCAATCGAGGATATCTCAGTCTGTCATTTCAAATCTGTAGCTTCCAACACATAGCTGACCTCAGGTGGTAATCCAGGTAAGTTGTGGGTAAAATATGAGTCCATTTTTCTCCCAGACAAGGTATAACCCTCTTATGGTGGAATGGACCTTTCTTTGCTCAGATGCATGTAACACATGCAAGTTAGTTTTCTTGGTATTTTATCTCTGTATTCTTTCCTTTCTTCTTCTATTCTTTTCACTCTTACTGGTGGTTAAGAGCTCCACCCTTGAACTGGTTTTTTGCTACTACTTTAAGCAATTTCATTCTATTTCCATGTTGGGCCTACAGTGGAGTCCACTTAAACCTAAATCTGCAGGACTGCCAGATTTTCTTTAGTTTGCCCAGGTTTTTGTTTTAGAGATGTTGCTCAAATAGAAGAAGAAAAACATTGGGGGGGGGGGGGGGATTTCATTTTGTATCGGTTTACCCTGAACCATGTTCAGTTTAAGATGACATAGCTGTATGTTGTGACATGTTTTTAATCTTTTAAGATTACAATCTCTTTGTGTTACCATAGAATACTGTTCAGAATATCGGAAGGGCAGTTCCCAGACTTTCATCGGTGGTGACCATTGAGAAGGCCTTGAAAGATGCTCTTATTTGTTTGACTGAGATGTGTCATGTATTATAATCCTTTAGTCCTAAAAGGGAACACCCTGAAGTCTACTTATCATTTATCTTTTTCTGTGGTCAGTTCCATAGTGAGTGATGTTTGTTACTAAGGGTGGGTTTGGTCCTTCTTCAAAGCACATTCTTTTCGTCAGTGCCCTTTGCATTTATTATTAATGCAATAGCTTTTAAAAGCAAGAGGACCCTGTTTGATATGGCACTTTGCAAACTTTTTTCTTTTACTACGGTATTACTTGTAATAATGTGTTCTCATTGATTGTTTTATATCATGTACATAACACAACAGATTATATATTTTACTTTTAATAAACCAACATAAATAAACATATTTTTAATGATTTATTGGCGGTCACCACATTGTTTGCTACACATTTGTGTATACCTGAAGTAGTAAAAGTATTACTTGGTACTGGTACTCCTTGAATTGTTCAAAAGTGGATTTATTTAACATTACTGTGTTGCAAGATATATATGCCTACATAAAATTTAATTTTTCAACACAACTGAACTGACTGAGAAAGATGTAGAAATGGGAAAGCGAAATTAACTTCTCAGTTCTTCTAGAGATCAATTACTGTAGCCAGAAATGGGTGGCCCAAATAAGGTTTTAACTTATTTTAAGGGACATGTTTGATTATTCATGCATTATGTAGCCCTAATAAGCACATCCTTTTCCAAAATGCGGAATCCGGACTGGCATCTGTGGGGTAGCAATGGGGCGCTTCGCTGTTGCATGCAGGAGACCCAAGTTTGATTCCTGTTTTCATCAAGTATTTCAGTCATTCTGCTGGGGTGTTGAAAACATCACAAGGCCAGTAAGAGGATTAAAAGTCAGCTTTTCTACAGTGTGATCCAGTTAAAAATTGTGACTCGCTATTTTAAAGCTGATTAAATTCTAAATTTTGAGCTTATTTGTTGCACTGAACCAGATGAAGTTCAGAGCAAAACAATACTGAAAATGGAAAGCTAAATCAAAGGAATAACTTATAAAAAAAACCCAACTACAATGACAACGCTCTTCGTTTTTATTTTATTTTTTTTCCTCTTCAAACTGAACCAACAATATATGACAACAACTCTTTCATGCAATGGCATATATACATGAATCTTCACTCTTCACTGGCTTGTAAAACCCAGCCAGATTATTTAAGTCTTGACAAGAAAATGAAGAAAGTCACACCATCAAATACAGTCAACCTGGATGAATTTATGTACACATGAGTGAAAATAACCAGATAGTTGATAAAACTAATAAAACGATACACTTTGTCCATGCAATTGTTATCAAGAAAGGAGCCCAGTTGATTGAGGGGTAACACTATCATTAACAGGACAGCTGCAAACCTTTGAAAATTCTCTTCCAGCAATTGTCATAAATATGAAAAAAAACCCACCCAATATCTACATCATCATTGGTGTCCAAATCATAAAACTAGGAGTAGATGTAAACACGAAAAACTGAAACGACAAAAGAGGAATACTATAGATTTACACAGTATCAATAAAATCCATTTCTTTTCTACCCAGCCAAAATTATACAAAGTACAAATTAGACTTTATTAGAGCAAACAATTATTTATGATAACTCATTTGCTTCATACTCCTAAAGCATGGTCGTTTAATTTGACAAAGCAGTGCAGTAAATGTTCTCCTGCTTTTTCTGAACAGAACCAAATATCAGGGACAAAAAGTAAAGCAAAGAGCAATACTCTTGATGTGACGTTGCCAAGATAGGTAACAGATAGGTAACAAACCACACATGCAACTAACCAGCTGTATAATAAGAATATTAAAAAAACCAATATTCATAAACATTTCAATTTCAGTCCAAAACAAATTTCTAACTTTAAAAATAAAAGAGTGGGAGTGGGTGTTCATCAGAAGAATAATAGGAAGCAGTCCACTTTACTCACCATACATTTATCTCTCACACAGCCAGCATTATTCACCAACAAACAGTGTCATTACCTTCTTTTTCTACATTAGACAAATGTCTACAATTTTATTAACACCAGACCACACTTCATAAATATAATCCTGCTGTCGCACACATCCTGCTAACAAAACAATACCTATTTTGAAAAGAAAATGGGGGAGGGGGTCAAGCTCTAGGTACTTCATTGGATTCAGTTCAAATCAGTTCATTTTCAAGTATCGGTATGCCAAAGAATTAGCATACAAGACGTACTTCACAACATCCTGTTGCCTCCTCAAGAAAAAAGCATGTGAACATCAGACACAGCTCATCGGAGAGTATTATTCCTTTTCTTAATTCAACTAGCAGCAGCAGAGAAAGTGCAGGTGGTGATCAAAAGCCATACTTGGACTGGGTTTGTTTCTTTGTCATCTTATTCTGAGCCCAAGTGTTCTTCAGCTCCAGCTCTTTCTCCTTGGCCTGAAAAAAAACATCAGTCAATCAGGTACAGTGGAAACCATATATATATATATATAACAGGCCCGGTAATAACAGAGATTCTTTAAATCCCCGTTTTTTCCTACTCTTTGTCTCTATTAAAAATTATCGGCCATAACAGGGCATCATCGGAGACCAATCGGTTATAGCAGGGACAAAGGCTCGTTAACAATGTATAAAAAGTAAGAGAGAGAGGGAGAGAGAGAGAGGGGGAGAGAGAGAGAGAAACGCAGTGATTGAGCAAGCACACGCAAGCCACGCTACTGCTGCTAATACTGCAAGCACAAGCATAGGGTGAAGCCAGAGATGGCTGCTGTGTGCTGCAGACTTCGGTATGCACAGGCCTACCAATGGCCAAAACCCCTGTTTGTTGGTACTAGTGACAAGGGAAACTACCTATGAATAAATACAGCTGGATTAGTCCATAAAGCTTACTTCCATTGCATTTCTGATTTAACAGGGAGCTGATATAACAGGACTTTTTCTCTCCCTTTTTTTTAAAAGTAGAGAGTTTTACGGCGCTCGCAACTGCATAAGGTCATATGAGCACCAAAAGGTGGGTGTCAACAGAGAAGTCCTTACAGGGAATCAGACTTACTCTGCTCACCTCTCTAGCTTCAACAGCACAAGGTCTGCTTCGACTATCACTATTAAGGCACCCCGGAAATAGCAGGTCACAAGAGAGTGACAAACATACAAAAGAAGTAGAGGGAAAATGACAATAGTAAGAATTAGGAAAGAAAAAGCAGCAGTTCCCTGCTGCAGATCAGGTACAGTTATGAGCGTGACATGATGAATCAGCCCATTTACAATTCTACTGTGCTTGAACGAGAAATGTCCCCCCTTAGGGAATGGCATAAAGACACTACAGTCAGTGGCATTGCCCCGGGGGGTGGGACTTTTTCTCTGGTCCCACCATCCCTGTTACATCAGGTTTCCTATGTAATCAATACAAGAATGAAGGGAGGTAGTTTAGAGAAAAGAGGATTATACTTATTAAGTTACTTTTACTATGCAAGTGTTTGGTGCTATATGAAGGCTTGTGCTCAATCATAGGAAAAGTTTGAGGTAACTAAGTTACTATGCAAGTACTTGGTGCAATTTGAAGGTCTGTGCTCAAATAGTAACTGGAAAACTTCGACGTTATCTCCTCGAGGGATCCTGAATTCGCCCCGCGTTGGTATCAAATACGGTTAAACGAGGCAGTAGCAGAGAAATTAATGCTCCCTACTACTGCAGCTGGATCCACCCACACCAAAGAGGTTTATTCTAAAGTCCTTGACCCACACAAAGAGTCACACGAGAAAAAAAAAAAATGTGCGAGTAGGGAAGGGGGCGAGTTGTGCTCAGTCTAAGTCTGGAGCAGTGGAGGTGGGCGAATTAGGTGTCAAACAATGCCCAGGCATATGTCATACAATGTGAGGATGGTAGTAGAAGTTTGGTGAGTGCCATAACAACAGAGAAGAAGAGATACGAGAACTACAAAACTGGAGCTGTGTGAAAGAAGAATTTGCGAAAAAGAAAATCACCGTTGTACATTTTGTCAAGAGAATGAATTTTAAACTGTTCCTCTAAAAATGCATGTTTTATCTAATTCTCCGTCCTCACTGATTTTTATCTAATTTTAATCATTGACATGCAACGAATCTGCATCCAGCTTGAAGCCCAATTCTTACCCCTCTGTGGCTAGCAGAGGTAACCATAACATTGTGCTTCAACAAATTTAAAAAAAACAAACACACACACATGAATGATCATCAGTTCCGATACCCTACAACTGTCATTACTTAAACTGTTCGATTACAAACCAGGGGGCGAATTCAGGATCAAACTTTCTGGCACTTAGGGTTATGATGTATGATGTCACAGGGGGTGAATTCCATTGTGTCTCTCCCCCCCCCCACACACACACACAACCCAGAATGCCTACACTTTAAATTTAAAGTTCCAAAGCAGGTAGGACAAAATACCTGATCTTTCTGGAGTATGAGTAGAATGAGGAAAAAAGTAATAGATCCCATGTGCATGCTGTCAACCACAAAGCCACTTTGTAGTAGTAGATTATAATAAGCAGAAAAAGAGCAGGCCTGCCCAAGAGAACGCTGCGGCAAAATATTTAACCCTATCCGTTTGTCGTGTTTTCATATAATTCAAACGAAGTGGGGACCTTTGTGCCACCACTTTCCAAAGAGGAAATTTACTCCTTATTCCAATCCGTACGCTTGGCATAGCAGTCTGTCAAAATAACTTTTTGAGAAATACTGAAAGTTTCAAAGAGATCTTCGTACTAGAAGTATTCTAAAAAGTGAAGGATACAATCCCGGGGGTACAAAATGACCCCACGGCGTACGGATAGGGTTAAAACTCCTTGCCTAAACCAACTGATGTGTAGTCAGTAGAAATAATACAGATCTTTGAAAATTGAACAAAAGACCCTCAAGGGCAGAAGACTATCATATTCAAGTAGGAAAATAGAGTAACTCTGGGGGTTGAAGAACTAGCAATTAGCAGTCCCTGAAATCTTGTGTGGGCAACAAAAAAGGAAGCAAAATACATTGATTAATGCCTCTCTCCTTTCTACAGCTGAATTAAACAGGGAAATGTTAGTAACACGATGATTATTATATAACAGAGCTCAGAAAGAAAAAAAAGATGACAGAAAGAAAAATTATGAAGTACTTCAGAAATCAAAACGATGGATGATGGTCACATTTTGCCAGGAATAGATAAATTGGTCCCACTACAACTCCCACCAACAACTAGCATGTGTGTCTTCCTTTATCTTTGTCTCTATAACAAATAAGAGTGGACACAATCTCTCACTGGATTTATTATGAGGCCACTACATTTCACCTCTTGAATGACAAAAAATAAACACGTTTTCTTTTATTTTCCGCTAAAGTTATCTATTTCAATTTCCCGATCAAGCCATAAGTTAGCATCTTTGAACAATATTAACATGTGAAGTTAATTTTCATAATGACATCTTCTGTTGATGGCTGGATGCAAAACTGACAAATGTTGTAAATGCCTTTGAAAGGGCAAACATGGGCTATTAATCTTTAACTGGTAACCTTTCTTGGCAACAAGTTATTTACAAGCTTAGGTGGTCATTTTGAAATGCTCTATTGTATTTTTGCAGCACATAAGCTGGTGAACATCACACACTGAATTTCTGTCCATACAATAGAGGAGGAAAAAAGTAGAACCTATCATAACACTACATCTGTGTTTGTGGTGTAGCAGGCAGGCACTTTCTGCCGCACGCAGAAGACCTTACTTCAGTTTTCTCATGTTGGGAAAATTTTTATTGAGTATCTTGGACTTTTTGCTCTGACATGTCTCTCTCAGCGTAACTCCACATACTCAAAAATAGACGAGCGCCCGATTCCACAGCGTCGTGACACATATATATATATATATATTGGATATTACCCCCCTTTGCTTGGAGATAATAAAGTGTACATAGCTGAAATGTTACCTGATAGGCAAGATATGTAATCTGCTTCTTCCTTTTCTGCTGAGATGTGGGCATGTTGTCCTTGTTTTTATTTGAGACATACTCTGTTTCTTCAGTCAGGTGTTTTGACACTTCAGACGGATCCACATAGTCGTCAACTTTAGCATCAACAAAGCTGATGGACTCTTCCATGCCACGTTTTCTCTTCCCTTGGAATCTTTGAAACTGAAAAGATACCATAAGAAAAAATTTGTATTAGACGCATTAAACACAAAAGTAAAAAGAACAATTTCTGAGATAAAGCAAACCCCTGCTACCCAGCAGTATTGTGAAAATAGTGAGTATTTACTTATAACAAATATCCTCCTTTTATGTGGTCTAAAAAGACACGCACTCCAATGACGACAGAAATAAAATCAAACAACTTCAGGAGCTAATCAACCCTATAGCGAATGAAGGAAAAAATATAAATAAAATCAACACCCCTGCTTTATTCTTGTAAAGTATAGATGAGAACAGATACACATTCAATTGAGTCCAGCTCTGAGGAAACCTGTTGTGAAGTGAACATTTTTTAAACTAACATTTACGCATGATTGAAAACCGTTATCCTTCTTGAGCATTTTTACTTTATCAGTGTGCAATTCGACTTCACTGCAAGAACAATACGGTTTAAGAAAACTGCTTAGAAAATTTCTAAGAAAAGGCTATTTTTAGTACTGCAGTACATGTGTACACCGGGCCCCTCCTAGTCCACCCTCCCCTAATGAAGAAAATTCTTTCATCCTTTCCTTTGGTATGTTATGGTAAGAAGTTCACAAATAGTCCCTGAACTTTAACAGGTTAACATTTTGCATAAAGCTTTTATGCCTAGTTATGTAAATAGTGCACCAGTAGTGTATATCTGATCAGTGTCAGGACGTAAAGCCTCAAAAGCAGGCTACCAGTACTACTATCTCTCTGTCAACTTGTTGGCCACTTGAGGAAGTAAACAGAACATACCTCTTTGTCACTCATAAACTGCTTCAGATCATCACCTGGCACTTCATCAGACTCATCATCAATAGCACTTTGAGCACTCTGACAAAAAAAATGATGAACAAAGCGTAAGCCACATAGCTAAGCATAAAAACAGAAAAAAAAAGATGCAACCTTACCATCTGATTAATAAATTCTAGCATTTGAAAGTAGACATCACTTATAAAAAAATTAAAATATTTTTAGTTTGAAGAGATTAATGACAGATCAACACATATATATATACTGTCGAACCTGCCATGACAGCCATCTGTACAAATCTATGCAATTTCACTGTGTAAAATGGTCACCTGTCCAAGGCAACCGCAGCCACCATATTTTATCAACTTACAACCAAAATTACCTGTCTGAGTGAGATGGCCATGCAAATCTCGCATCGCCTGGTGCTTTGTCATAAATTATGTGATGACCCTGGAGATGTCATACTCCATTCACCTGTCATTATTGTTCGTCCCTCCAATGATCATGTTGCTTAGGTTGCTCTAAATGTTTACTCAAATTTACCTATTAGTAACAATAAATGTTCAGCTGCTGGTGAGGAAGCGTGTGATCCATCATAATCTATAAGCCTCGCCCACAACTCATAGACAACTCATAAGTAAGTGAAATGAGAGGTCACTGTTTAGGCCTACCCAGTCCATAACAATGGACGTCAACAATAACTTGGGAAAGAAAAGTTGCTTTTTCACTGAGTAGTGACTACCAATTTATTTGTTTTATTCTGCAGGGCGACTGCCAACCTGGCTTCTCAATTTTCCAGAGGAGGGGGGCTCAATCATTTACCAGCGGAATGTTACATAACAATGACAGCACACATTCTATATTCCTGGGGCCTGGCAGTCACCTTGACTTTGGCACTCAGTCTTCCTTGTCAAACACATTTTGTTTTGTTTTAACCTTGCACGAAACCATAGTAAAAATATAACCCCCGCTCCTCTCTTTTCAAAAGAAAAAACCCATTTCAATTATCCATACAGCAGCCCTAAGCCTGTGACCACCCCTAGTTGAGACCTCAAAAATAAATGGTTTGTTTTCTTCATTTTGATCAGTCCAGTGTATGACAGCCACCTGGCTTATACAGTGCGTAGCCATCTTACACAGGTTCAACTGTATATCCTCTATCTATACCCTACATTTTTCAAAGTGGGCTGAATAGCAGTAAGAAAGCCGAGCACAGGCCAGATGACAATTTGGTTCAATAAAATACATCCAATACATAAAAAAAAAGACAAACAACCTATTGATTTATTAGAAAACAAAAAACATCAGACAGAAAAAAAAGACATCACACATATTTTTGGGTGACCTGGGACGGACAAGGAATTCCTGTTAGTTGTAGGAAACGTGTAAAATGAAAGATTTGTCACATTAAAGCTGAGCAAGAATGTAAAAATTAGCTGTAAGTTATGGGTCAATAAAGCATGTTTAATTTGCACTGAGAAATACAATGAAATGACTTCATTATTTATAATAAACAGTGCATATGGTGCAAATTCCCTCTCAACAACAGGCTCTATGTGCTTTACAATCTATTCTATTACCCCAGCAGACCTGGTAACATTCTGAAACAATCTCAAATTCCTTGGAAGCATACAGTTCAAACTGCCATTTTACAAGTGCTAAAACAGTAACATACTGACAAGATTTTTCGCTGGCTAGGGCTGTGAACCCATTCACACCTGCGTGAATTGGAGGAAAATTCATGTAAAATGCCATTCCTAAGGACACACTTTCATACCAAGGTAAGCCTTGAATCTCAGAGCCCGCAAAATCACAATCACAAATCCAATAGCTAATAGACTAGGCGCCTAGGCTACAGACGCCACAGTTTTCATGACCAAGTCCTCAGCATGGTATACAAACACATCTTCCAAGCTTTTATCCCTCACGTGGGTCATGGTAGCACTGGCAGGCCACACAAGCTCACCACCCAGGCTGGAATTTGGTGATACCTGATCTATACGATAATATATATATATCTCTCTCTCTCTGTTAAATAACAACCATATCCTCTACATAATTTATGTCCTCCCCATCCCCCTTATCAACTTCTCTCTCGCTGTATATATATATAATTTATTTGTGTGAGTGTGTCTGTGGGTGTATGGGTGTGGGCATAAATTTAATCATGAGGGAATACTGACTATGACATAAGGCAAATTCTGGAAAGACAAGCACTTAAATTGCAAAGACAGTGAATATTAAATTTTTAAAACGATTTTAAGCCAAACTGACTAGAAATTTTCACTGCAAAAGATTAATACAGCTTTAGAACAGTTCAAGACAATCCGCAGAAATCTGTACCTTGACAACAAAATGGTAAAGAAGCAGAAAACACATTCTGGTAAACAGCATCGGAAAAAAACCCAACAAATTCCATAATCTATCAGAGGGCACATAATGCAAAGCTGAAACCATAAGTGACTCAAATGACCTTTGGTGTACACTTTTATCTAGGCCCTATTAGCCAATTATAATGTAGTAGCAAATAAACAACAATGTCAATGCATGAACCCATTTTCCTTTGAAGTCTTTTTCAGAGTTGCATGACTTCATTCTACCATAACACACCAGTCTTTTGTCTCTCGCATAGACTCTCATTATCTAATCACATATTTGCCACTTTCACTGATGGCACTATTGGTAGTTTGCAGTAGCACAAAGTCCCAGTCTACAAACACACTACACACTATTACGTAGAACAAAGACAGTATTTCACACAAACAGACATTGACGTGGTCAACTATAGAAAATAACTTAATACATTAAATTGATGATTACCTCGGCATTAGCCAAGTTGTAGAGGGAATTTGAGGGCATAGCCTGCTGAGTTTGAAAAGATGGGACCACAGGACCAGACAGACCCACAGGATTGAGGAAGCCATACGAGGAACCTGACCACGCATTCAACCTGTTCACACTTCCAAAGTCCAACGGGGCATCATTGACGGAACCTGGCTCAGGTTCTGGCTCAGCTTCTTCCTCCTCTTCATCCCCTCCCTCTTTGCTGCTGCCTTCAGGAACATTCTCCTCACTGTCTTTCACATCAGTCACTAAGGTCTGCCCAGACGTCTTGCTGTTGCCTGCACCAAGATTAGAGTCTGATTTAGAGCTCGACACCTCTTCACTTTGAAGTCTTGAAGACGAAGAAGACAAACTGGTTGCAATACTGTCTTTGGAATTCTTCTGTGCAGATGAGTTTAACGAAAAAAAGTTTGAGGACGAGCTGCCATCTTCATTGTCTTCATCGCTGTCACTGTCATAGCCTGTCAAGGCATTAAATTGGGACATACGTTTAGAAGACCCATCAGAGGAAGAGGCTACCTCACTGCGAGAATTAGTGTGGGTGCCTGTTGTGGTCTTCTTCGAAGATGCTGTTGTGCTAGAGGTTTTAGACGCTGCCGCTGGCTTCTTTGTTAATGAATGGGGTATCAAGGGTCTATTTATCTCCTTCTTTGCCGAATGCATGGGAGCAGGTAACAATGAGAATAGGCCATTTTTTGTCTGAAAGGAGACGAAAACACCTGGATATAATATTTTAAGGCAATAAACAATCATGCGTATGGTGTATTATCAATTCAGTGTAGTCAACAACAACCTATCAGAATAATGGAAGCAATTTACAAGGAAGATTTGCACAAAAGCAATATAGAAAAGGAGAGGAAGCAGGAAAAGCCCTCAGGACATGTTTTATAGCAAACAACATCAAATAAAGTAAACTCCTAGTCCCAGAACACAAAATCCGTGTGATATATAAAGGAGAGCAAACCCCACAAAAACAATAGCACAGAAACAAACTTACCACAAATTAATACCTTACTACAAAAATCCTGTCTTATTCTAAAACTTATCTCTGAATGGTTAGGATGCAAGAGAGGCCATGTAAGTACACTGGTTAAACTCTGTTCACTTTGAAACATCCACTAAGGTCTCCTTCCTAGCTTTTGCAGGTGGACCCTGCGTTAACTTAACAATTATACAGCTGTTGTTGTCTTTATCCATCCAACAGCGCAGGGGGTAATGTCTTTTAGATTCTTGCCAAGTACAGTCTCCAATTCGAGGAAGTTCTTCGGGGCAATTGTATAATTTCGTACAGGGTCAGATAGTGACAGGTCACTGGAGAAGAAGTCCAATACTTATATAATATGTCTTCGAGGATGGGGCACTTGACTGACATAAAAACTGTCTCCCTCAGGTATTAACACAGATGACATGTTTCCAAGTTTCTCTCCCCAACTTATAATTATTAAAACTTGCTTATACGTTTATCCGTGTGTTAGTAACTCCTTATCCCCGACAAGCCGCTCCCAGCAGCTCGCAGTCGGCACCGCTGTGCCGCTGAGTCGCTGGTAGTGGCTCAGGCTCACCTTTACGACCACTTCGAATCAAATTACTTTTTTTATAAATTGCCGGAAGCAGGTCTCTTTTGCCAGTAATACATTCGTTAGATGAAGAACTATCAAAATAGGTTGACTTGTTTTGACTAATGACTCGTTTAGAGATGATTTCGTCATTTTTAAAATTTGATACCAAAAAAGGTACTTTAAAAGTATAACTTGAAGAAAAATAAATTCTTTACTTACAGTTGATGATGAAACTGGTCTCTTGGACTCTGACTTTACTTCCTCTGGTGTCTGAAACACAAAACAGACTCATTACTACCTTAGGCTGGACTTTTAAGAGGAAAAAAAAGAAACAAAAGAAACAAAACTCACACAGAATTATTCTAAGAACCTTAATTTCTTATACAAATACAATAAAAATTGTCCAGGATGGTCATCCACTGCTACTGTTGAGGAGAAAAGTGGATGTTTTAAATGGAGTCTCCGACAGTGTCAGTATAATTATATAATATAAAAAGCACAAGGGTAAGTGGGAAGTGATCGTTTGTACAGGTGATTGTCTAGGACAAGTGACATTTACAGCAATTTTCATTGTAGTCTGAAAAAGAATCACATATCAGTGTAGATCAACTTGAAGTTCACAATACCATCAACTTGACGCATTAAGTTTTCGTCATCAGCTAAAAATGCAAAACAAGGGAACTTTGATATTAGCAGCAATGACCACAAAAAAACTTTTTTTGTCAGAAAGTGTTTTCAAATGGGTGCATTTTGTCGCTGTATCTCCATTGAGAATGGAACTGTCTGAATTTTTGAAATCCATAAATAAACAAAAAAGATATGAATTTTTTAATCAATTAATTTTTGATAGACTTTTATATAATGAAAAAACCCCAAAATATGGGACGTTCTTTGGTGAGTTTTGAGACAATATTCATCATAATTCACTCATTTCTCGGAGTATTTAAATGAAACTTGGCAGCCCAGTACATTTGCTAGTGCAGAATCTAGTCCTGCTTTCAGATTTCTCATAGCTATCCTGCTTTTTGAGTTATGAAGTCGTTTCTTGGTAAAAATGTGGCAGTTTTTGGTGTGTTTTGAGACAATATTTGTCATAGCTCGCCTATTTCTTGGAGTATGTAAATGAAAGTCGGCAGTCTAGTACAGTTTTTAATGCAGAATCTAATCAGGCTGTCATATTTTTTATATCTATCCTACTTTTTGAGTGGTAAAGACATTTACAGGTTTAAAAAGTGGCGTTCTTTACAGATTTACAAAGATTATCAGTCATATCTTCTCCCAAAGTCATGATATTTGAGTGAACCTCGGCAATGTAAAAGATTCCTCCTTGCTAAGCAATGCACTGGATCAATTTGTCACAAATATTTAAGTAGAGAGCTGGATTTATTAGTCTAATAAATCCAGTTCTCTACTAGTAAAAGCATGCACACTTTGTAATAGAAAATAAGATCGTCTAAGTATATATCCATTGTTGGGCAGTGTCCTATTGTGTGGTAGAGTAAGATGCGTTTAGATAATATTACAAGTCCTGGGAATATTTCGCATGTGTAGGCTACAACTCATACTATAAATGTAACAGATATTTACCACCCCCATCCCTTCTCTCTCTCTCTCTCTCTCACACACACACACACACTCACACATGCACACTCGCGCACGCGTGAACGATAACAATGAATAAACGGGACTATCTTCCCAGACTGGACTAAAAAGTACCACACTCTTTAAAAACAATCTTAATGCCTCACTTTCCCAAACAGAGCAAACAGGACGAGTCCAAGTGTGTGCTTTACCAAGAGGGGGGAATAGGCTTTCATAACGCAAACACAATGTCATACCACTTCTTTGATGTTTGCTTTTCTGTTTCTATTCTTCTCTCATGCAATTAAGCAAATAAAAATGACTACCTCTATCATATTGTGACTAAAATGCAACACAAATGCAAGTGATCAAGGCCCCCGTTAGTTTTCAAGTATCCTTCCCCCCCCCTTTCCGGTTCACATAAGCGGGGCCTCGTTCATAGCGACCAATGGCTGATGACGTCACTCAGTGGAAATTTCCCAGCCGCCGGTCGTTCACCCAGCACGCGCAAATGGCAATGCCGCTTTTCCCTTAGTTACTCCCACATTTTTAAAGATTATGCCAAAACCGCTAAACACAGAAGCATGAAAGTTTAAGGGAATAAAGAAAAATGGTGTACAACGTATCATTCAGTTTGACAAATCACAGCTCTGAAAAATGTTCAAAGCGCACCACATCAACCACTTTCGCAAACGTTTTCAACTGCTTCTTCGATGGGTACAAAGTTGTCAAACAGCATACTACGAGATTGACCTCTTTTCTGATTGGCTGCCAAGTTTCATTCATAGCCATTCCCGAGAAGCGGCGTGAGAGTGAGTTGAAGACAACAACCTTTCAGTTAGTTCGCCCCAGCCGCGGCGGGGGCCAAAAATCGGTAGAACAAAACGCGCTCGGTGGGCATTGCTATCGATATTCTTAAACTTCAGATTAGATTACCTCATCTAAGGAAGGGATAGTAATCTTCACAGGTTGCCTCTTTTTTCCCGGTGGCTTTGGAGCACTTGCTATTTCAGCGGCCTTTGGCTTTACTTCTTCTTCCAGGTCATCTTCTACAGTGTCTGCATCAGCGTTAAGTGTTGGTCTCACTTGTGGAGCAGGAAGATCTGTAAAAATGTAATTTATTACTATAACAGATAACAATTCTAGTAACCTCTTCATCTACCTTCCACTGTATTAGGCAGTAGAGATATTTTCTTAAATACTGACTCACTGGAACACACATATTTTAAACAAAGGCAACAAGCCGTGCTTCATAAAAAATTTTGACTTTACTACTGCTTTCAGAGTCAAGACACATGATTAGCTACATGTGTCTTTTTGTAACCATTATTTATAGCATTGTTAGGGAAGAGTTGGCCATATATAAGACTAGTGTAACATCATTATAAAGTATTAGACAGTAGTCCTTCGGACTAAATCTCAGTTCCTTTCTCCATTTCCCCGTAGTATTTTGTGGCTGGCACTGCTTTTTATCATCTTTCTGCGAGAGCACCACATTTGAGTTTTGCACAGAATTTCCTTTGCGTCTCGACTGAAAAAGTTTTTAAAAAATAACAAATTTTAAGCTATCCAGGCCTATCATAATTAGCCTCTATAGATTACAAAGAAAGGGACAGTTGAATGTTCTTGTTCTTCCTGAAAGTTCACAAGTAGGCCTATAAGTTTTACTTTTACTCTAGATAGTGTGATGAAAAACATTAGACTGTCATTTGAGTTGAGTCTTGACGGTCCCCACGGGAGGAATTCCGAAACAAGCAACCACTATGACATCTAGCTTATAATCAATGGCCATTTAAACACAAACTTTATATAATCTTTTTTTTTGGGGGGGGGGGGGGGGGATTAAGTTAGGCAGGCCTAGGTAAGGAAGGTTTAGACTAAATATTCGGACTCGAGTCTGAATAGACAAAAATTATATACTTGGATTCTGAATTGAGTCCAGCATGGCGTCTGTCCCGACTCCTAATCCTTGTTCCTAAATATTTCCAGCGTTTATGAATTTTTTCTTCTTGATTATAATGATTTGACCATTACAATCGAGATGTGAGCATCCAGTTACTAGATCTATCTAAACTGGCCCACCCTGCATAATTAGTGAACAGTGAACAGAAAAACCAAGTTGAATTGACCTTGCTGGGGGCAAAGTTAATTATGTAGACCAATGAGACTGCGCGTAGCAATCATGCACTCTCGGCTTGCTGGGGGAAGAGGCCATGGCTGTCCATTTTGTGTGATGTGATTTTAAAAAATTAATTACAAAAAAACTATGAATAACACACAACAAAATGAAATTAAACATGACATGTGGAAAGACATGGTGGCGGAAGTAACGATGATGCTATAATGGTGGTGGAAAGACCCTGAATTGTCAGTTACCGTGTACTCAGACACTGCCATTGGGCAATGAGAGTGCAGTCTTTTGACTTTTGACACAATTACACAGTCCTAGTAGAGGTAATTCTAGATCTAGTTTTAATTCTGGTTTTACGTAAAATCCCCTGACGACAGTATATATATATATTATAATATGCAACCTCCATACACTAGGGATGTGCAGGTACCGGTACCCAATACCGGAACTCCGGTTCTACCTAAGGAGGTGTCAGTACCAGGCGGCGCTGAACATGGTGTTAGACGCAAAATGCGAAGTCTGTGACGTTACCTACAGGCGTCACTCCCACTTCTGGTACTGAGTTGATACTGGCGGTTCTGAGTGCCGAGAAAGTACCGACACTGGATTTCGCCGGAACCGCCCAGCACTACCATACTCTCACATAACTCACTTAAAAGCTGAGTATGAATAAATAAAATATATAAAACATTTTTTTCGGATCCGAGTATAAAGATATCGGACTCCAATATTATAAGGTTAGCGTGAAAGCCAGGCTTAGTAGGAGGGAAATTGTAAAGATTTGAAGTATGTTCAGGGTAGGGCCAGTGTTAGTGTTAGGATTATAATCTAAATTTCATAGTGGTCACTTGATATGGAAGTCCTTCCATCTTTACACAAGAAAAAACTTTTACGACTTAGCCTAAGTTACGTACCATCAAGAGACGTGACTGAGGTTGAATTCACTTGGTTTTCAAAAGCCGAAGATACTGAGACTGCACCCATCAATGAATCTGAACCAAGACTTTTCTTTGAATTAGAAAAAGCTGCCACAGATGTGGAGCTGACGCTTTCGTATTCATCTTCATCGCTAATGACCCCTGAGGACCGTACGTTTCTATTGTTGTTTTCACTCTGCCGAGACTGAGACGCAGGTTCTTCTTGCTGCTCCTCATTTTCAGAGTCACTGTTGTCACTAGCACCATATGCTACTAGCGACATGGCTAAAATGGATCCCTTTATTAGAACTTGAAATGCTTAGGAGCTAGCTTCCTGCTCGAATGCAAAGCACTCGGCACAACAAGCATCAGCAGGGTGTACTCAATTTTAGTGGTAACAACAAACAGTGTTGCAGAATGATTTGGAGCAAGTGTTAAAAACAAGACAGGAAGTACACATTGATTTGTCCAGGGGAAGCTACTCTACTTTTTTGTATCCATCGATCTAAAAAAATGTCTCTTTTATTAACTACCAACAAAACAAAACTTCAATAGGCTATGGAGGGGAAAAAGGGGGGAAGACATCAATAATGATAGAGTAGCTTGTTCGCTTTCATCTGTCCACGGTAATACCCCCCCCCCCAAAAAAAAAGGAAAAAAAAAAAAAAAAAGCCCACAAAGATCTTCTAGATTTAGAATCTAGCTCGTTTATTATTATTTACAATGCGCATGTAACTTTGCATGCACTTCCTTCTACTTCTCTGTAGGCCAGCGACCAAACAAAAATTTTAATAATTTGTTTTAAAAGAAAGTCTTGATCTATAGTTAGAAAAAAAATCTTTATTTGAATCATACATTATATTATTAAATTATACCGCTCCTGGGTCCACACACAGGATTACAATACTATGATTAAATTGCGCCTACAAATTGCTCATTGCTAGATCTCACCTTTTCCCCCATATTTCAGAGTAAGCTTGAAAATTTCATCTCACGACAGTCTAGATATCTCCATCTTTTCCGAAAAGTACTCACCCGTCTGTTGGGTCATAGGAAAAAAAGGTATCCTTGGTACTTACGTATTCCTTATCTGCAGCCGTGATGCCTATTCCTGTCGTGAGTCGCGCGCTTGCACGCTGTGTGTGTGTGTGTGTGTGTGTGTGTGTGTGTGTGTGTGTGTGTGTGTGTGTGTGTGTGTGTGTGTGTGTGAGAGCTCGTGCATGTGTGCATGGGTGTGCGTGCTTGCGTGCGTGTTTACTCGTTCACTACAAGATTTGTAATGTTCACGCACTTCCTGGTACCGGTACCGTACCCGGTTTTCTCGTGGCTGATCCTCACGACCACTCATTTTCTCTTTCACTTACATAATAATATGTACTGGTGTACAGTCTGGACTAGTTTTTGGTCGTTATGGAGACCTTCTATCAACTCCTGTGTCTCAAGGAGGAGTTACACTCAACATTATGGGGTGCAAGTAACAGAATATTTCTGTAAATGTGTGCGTCTGAGATCGAATGGGACTGGATACGTCTGTACCGAGCTCTACCTTTCTATCCAGCGCGAGCGCACAGAGACTCCGCTTTCATCATCTTAAACTGTCTGTCTGTCAGTCAGTCAGTCTGTCTGTCTGTCTGTCTGTCTGTCTGTCTGTCTGTCTGTCTGTCTGTCTGTCTGTCTGTCTGTCTGTCTTACATTTTCCCAGCACTAAATGGCCACAAATGTATCGATGTGTTTCTCTTTACTCAAGCAAACTCAAGTGGGATCGTTAGTCCTCTCCGAAAATACAAAATGACACCATTCTGGTCACACTCGCTCACACCCCTTCTTTTCCTTGTGTGATTCATTGTTCATACTAACCCCAAGGGCAGTGCCACTGACTGTAGTGTCTTTAGGCCATTCCCAAAGGGGGGACATTTCTCGTTCAAGCACAGCAGAATTGTAAATGGGCTGATTCATCATGTCACGCTCATAACTGTACCTGATCTACAACAGGGAACTGCTGCTTTTTCTGTCCAAATCCTTACTATCGTCATTTTTCTCTACTTCTTTTGTATGTTTGTCACTCTCTTGTGACCTGCTATTTCCGGGGTGCCTTGATAGTCGAAGCAGACCTTGTGCTATTGAAGCTAGAGAGGTGAGCAGAGTAAGTCTGATTCTTTGTAAAGAGTTCTCTGTTGACACCCACCCCTTGGCGCTCATATGACCTTATGCAGTTGCGAGTGCCGTAAAATCCTCTACTTAAAAAATTGTTAATACTTTACCCAGAATGAATGTCTATCCCACTTTAAGTCCCGGTTTTCTGAGTTTGAGGCATGCATTGACCTTTCATCGCGTTTCATTCCTGATGATACTGTTACCCCTTCCAAAAGGTTTACACAAGTTCGTTATATCAAATTCTCTGTACCCGTCCCAATTTTATATCATTAATATGTAAAGAACTAACCTCGTTAAACCGCCTGCCCCGTTATACTGCCAGCTCCGATTTCCGTCAGGTTTTGCCTTTGTACGAAAAGGAACGTCTACACAAACACATTTGTACTTTCACACCGCCATCCGCCAACTATCTGACTTGTACAGCCCTTTTCAAACTAATGCAAATTAGCCCCGCTATACCACCAGTGAAGTGGCCTCCAAAGGTGCACACTATACACGCTGCATGGGCACCCATTAGTATGACATCCTTCAGTCTCATGAGACTATGGATCTGCGCCGTAGGAGATTTCAGGTTCAAGAGCAGCGTTTGCTGTGGCTGAACAGGCCCACACGGGAATGCCAGTCCTTGTTGTAGTGGCTGCACTTGTGAATGGTGTCTTCCTGCATTGGTAGCCTCTGGCTGTTCTTTCGGCGACAGCGTTTGTCCTCAGCAGTCTGTCACAGTCGGGCTTCAACTCTGATGAGACCAGCTCGCAGCGGCTGTCTCCATTTGTCGCGATCGCGCGCCAGTGTCTCCCACCTCCCATTGTCCATATCGAGCGATTTCATATCTCGCTTGTACACATCTTTGAAGCCAAGATGGGGGCGCCCTTGCGCTCACTTTCCGGAGGCCAACTCATCGTAAAATAAGTCCGTTGGGATTCTTCCAGCCAGCATGCGATGCACGTGACCAAGCCAGCGGAATCGGCTCTGCCGGAGCGTGGTAAACAGACTTGGGATCTGCACACGGGTGAGAACTTCGGCGTTGGTGACTTTGTCGCTCGACTGTATATCAAGGATGCGCCTTAAGCTGCGCATATGGAATGCGTTGAACCTTTTCTCCTGTTTTCCTCTCCAGGGCGCAGGCCTGGGCAGAAGTGTATGGAGGACCAACTGATGCCCAGGCAGCATGTGCCCCATCTCCACGCCACCAATGGATCTAGCGGAACGACAAACGTAGATACAGTTTGGCATCAAGGGCGTCGCAGGAGTGCCGGAACAAGGCTGTGTACAGTAGCGAACCGCCTTAGGGACTCCGACTCCGGATCTTTCCTCAGGGTTTACTCCCGAAGCCTTTTCCAGTAGCGGGTGTTGCCGAAAGGCAGCGGAGGTTTGAAGTTGGAGTTTTCCTTCTCCTAGGTGACCATGACTGACGAGCCCCACCTGCCCGAAGCATCTGGTTTTAGGGCGCCAGAGACCCGCCTTCGCCTCGTCTCCTGTCAGTAAAAACAGTTCTGCCACAGGAAGGCCAGGAATTGGGCTCAGACTGTCAGAGGGTATTTGAGACGCGCACCATGAGAGCATTTCTAGGTAGAGGGATCTTATCCCCGCTACCACCCTCGGCGTCATGACAACCTTCTCCCTTTAGAGAAATATCTGACAATCTCTTTCCTACACACGTTTCTGCGATTTAGGCCTATTTCTTGCGTTTATTGCTGATTTGTTCCTGGTTTGCGCTGATTATGAAAATGAGGTTATTTCTAGTTTTGGACAAATATTTAAAAAAGAAATTGAAGTGAAATTTTAAAATCTCCAGGAGAAAGTACGATTGCCCCACCTCGGCCTGTCGACAAAATATCTGTCGTCGCCAGATATCAGCCTGGCGACCAACAGATATTGCGAGGACTCACAGTCAAGTCTACAAGGACTGACCAGTAGCAATTAAAAACACTATACGTCCACAGGGTCCTTGACACATATTAACTTAGCTTATGATACGGCAGAAATTTTAAATTTGAATTTACGTTAAGCTCAGCTGGAGCTGTACGGTACATGCAATTGGTTTCTACTTTTTTTTCTCCTCAACATGGCAATCGACAAGACAGATTTAAACGAGTCAAGACTAGCCATAGTTTGATCTAGTCCCTACCAGCCTACGGCTAGTAAGAGGGCAATCAGTGCTATCCTGTTATACCTCTAGCCCCGCTGTACCACCAGCTCCCAGGGTAGGCGCTATAACAGAGTTTGACTATATATCGAGCATCAAGGCTATCATTAGTTTTCATTTATCTGCTCTTGATTTCAGCTAGAAGTTGTGGTGATATTGAAAGTTGCATGCTTCTCATCAAGAACTTCCCTGAAATCTTTTCGTGACAAGATTTGGGATGCACGGAAGAGACTTCATAGACAGCGGAAAACAAACTCACACACTCGCCTACGCGTATCGAATCAAAACATGCTGTCTGTCTGTCTGTCTGTCTGTCTGTCTGTCTGTCTGTCTGTCTGTCTGTCTGTCTGTCTGTTTGTTTGTCTGTCTGTCTGTCTGTCTGTCTGTCTGTCTGTCTGTCTGTCTGTCTGTCTGTCTGTCCTACTTTCTTTCTCTCTCTCTCTCTCTCTCTCTCTCTCTCTCTCTCTCTCTCTCTCTCTCTCTCTCTCTCTCTCTCTTTCTCTCTCTCTCTCGGTCTGTCCCACCCCCTCACATACACCACAGACATACGCCGGCGCACACATACTAAGGCATACACATTACATGATACAGACGTATGAACAAGAGTAAGAGAAAGAGAGAGAGAGAGAGAGAGAGAGAGAGAGAGAGAGAGAGAGAGAGAGAGAGAGAGAGAGAGAGAGAGAGAGAGAGAGAGAAGGGGGGTGGAGGTGGGGAGCGAAACTTTGGCTAATGTTGCAGAATTAGGCGCCGTTGCTGTTATCACAATTATTGCTGCTGTTGTTGTGTTATGTCATTTTATCTTATGTTTGTTTTGCGTTGGGTTGTGTTGTACTGTTGTGTTTTGTGTTGCGTTGTTTGTTTTGCAGCCCTGATACATAAAACCACACAAAATCAGTTTTCTAACAAAAGAAAGACTAGGCATGAATAACGCAGCAAGCTTCATATTCTTTTGAAGTTCAGCGTGTTTTTTTTCTATGATCTTCTTACGCCATGGAAGATAGGTTCCACAGCCTTTATGGAGTTTCTTCCAAGCAGGGCCTATTTTATTGGGGCGTGCTAAGAAGCACAGCTGCAAATAAGGGACAAATCCTTCTTGCTTGATTTAAAAAAAAATGAACTTAAATGTATTGTAGGTGGAAACTATTTGTCAGGCAGGTGCTGGCAATTACAGGAAAATAGATCTACATCTATGATCGGTGACTTTAGAGTCATATCGACAGCTCATAAAGTGTTCACTATAAAATTCATTTCTTGTAACTAGTTTTGCTACTAAAAAGTATTGTTGGTGAGCTGTGACGTAACCCATATAGATTTATTTGTGTGTGAGGAGCGGGAAGTGCTCTGAACAATTCTATTTTCGTCGGGAAGGAGATTTGTAATATTTTATATTAATTTATGAAAAAAAGTCTTTAAAGTTTTTAGTCTAGCCTCAATTGTTGTGGAAAAATTGGATTTGGCTAAGTTAAGACAAATTTAGACAAATTGCTGTGCAAAGTATAAGTGACATTGACTCATCCGTTATACAGATATTTGAGGATAAGTTGCGCCACGACTTTTGACCGAACTATAATTAATATTGTAACTTAAGGCTCTTGTTGTTTGTTTGTTTAGTATAGGTCATATGAGCGCGCGGGACGCACCTAATACTTTTTCGTTGGTAGGAAATTTTGAATTTTGCCCGGGTGGCGGCCGAAGCCTACTCTTATCGATTTTAGACCACCAAGGGATCTTTAACGTGCGCAACTTGCACACGGGCCCTCCGAGATTTTTCGCCCTTGTCCGAGAAGGCTAGGTGTAGATCTTTCCTACCAGAAGATCAGGGGTGTGGCAGAAAGACAGCAGTTAGGAGGAGCCAAGGAGTAGCAGTAGAAAGGCTGCAGAAAGAGTAATGAGCCCAGAGGTGGGGGCAAAGGAGGTGAGGGGGTGGGGGCAGAAAGTGGAAATGAAAGCAGACATCAGAACATTGTTAGAGATCAGGAAAGGATGTGAAAGGAGACAATTTTAGAGAAGAAAATTTTTTGGGTCGCTACCCGGAATCGAACCCGGGACCTTTGAATGAGAGGCCAACACCTTAACCTCTAGGCCACGAGAGCCCCCCTTAAGGCTCTGCTATACGCCATTTTGAAAAGTGACGTATAACGGAGTCTTCCACTGAGCAGTCTAAAATAATGTTCATCCAGTTCGTGCAACTGTTTGGTAGTCTAGGTGAATGCATGGTTTTACACTACACGGCGTTCCGTGGCCCCCAGAAAGTGGAAATCCCGAAAGTGAGTTAGGCCTAATCCATCCTGTGTTCGGTCGGTTTGATATTGTATTCATGGCAAAGATTCTCCAATGTAATCTCGAAAGTGAATAATAATATTATTATAGTTGCAAGGAAATAACGATTGGTAATCGGGGATATTAGAATTAGAAATGATTGCATGGGCGTGGCCTCTATTATATCCTGAATGTCTCCCGGGGGTGGAAATAACAATATGAATGTATAAACAAGCCAAGGCAGTTGTGACGTGAGGAGGCAGACAACGAGGTAACCAGATAGGCCTTGAAGGAGTAAACAAACGACACACAATGCACCAATTGATAAGCCAAGATGCTGGATCGATAACAACGATAAACTAATGAAGTTTTAGCATGACCGATAAAAACGTTTTTAATGGATTGTATGTTGTAACAAAAACAAAGGATTTGGCACGGCAGAGCAATATCATAAACACAATGCTGTAATGGTGTCAAAAAGAGAGGTAATGGTTTTTGTGTTTCTTCTTTGAGCGAGGTGAAATTTTGGGGAAATGAACCATACGGTGTGCTTTGGGTGAGACCAACATTTTGCTTCTGGGTGTGAGCATTTTGTCGTATTTTTCGACAATGTCTTTTCTTTTGATTGTGTGCAGTGCTTGCCGAAGGTCGTTCACCCCGGCACGAGTGTGCATGCGCCGCCAACGAGAGAGTCCTTGGTGTGCTTGCTCTTCCGAATTCCGCAAAAACCGAGTGATGATGTCATCGATATCTGCAGACACTGTCTCCATTCCTCTCGCTGGATAGAAAGGTAAGGCCCTGTACAGACGTATCCAATCCCCTTCAATCTCAGACGCCACGAATTTACAGAATTTTTCAAGGTTATCTGAAAAGAGACGGAAAACAATTCAAGACTACCATGTTTTTAGAATTCTACAACAAAATTGAAAGACACATCCACACAAGCCCCCCCCCCAAAAAAAAATAAATAAAAAAATAAATAAATAATAAATAAATAAATAAATAAATAAATAAAAAATAAAAATAAAAAATAAATTAATTAATTTTTAAAAAAATATAAATAATTTTTTTTATTATTTTAAAATCCCATTATCTTCCCCTATATCTCGTACTCCCCCTCCCCCCCCCCCCACACACAAACTTCCTTCTCCTCCTCCACCACCACCGACTTGAGTCATTTCTCTTTCTTTACTGTTACCAAAACCGTATCCATAGATAAAACTTGGGAATGGTCTGGTGGACGACATCACTCTGCTCAGAAACTGAAGGATGACTTAAGACCCATTTTGTAAACTAAGAACCTAAGATATAATATATAATATATCTGCATACAGGTCTATGGCCCACATGTGGGATCTTTTACATAAGCCCTTTGGTGTATTTCTGCTTTTTACGGTCACTATGAAAACGATGGCATCTTGAAAATAAACAGCATGGAATGCATAGATCTATAATAATAATAATAATACTAATAATAATAATAATAATAATAATAATAAAAATAATAATAATAAAAATAATAATAATAAAAATAAAAATAAAAATAATAATAATAATAATAATAATAATAATAATAATAATAATAATAATAATAATAATAATAATAATAATAATAATAATAATAATAATAATAATAATAATATAAACCACAAACCTTTTTTCTTTTTCAGAGGTTGGGCATATCTAGAATTGATAGGCATGTTGTGGAAGATCTTCTTGAGCGTTTCTTGACTCGTTTTCAGCAGATGGATTTCCTTTAGTTTTGCCAGACAGCCCTGGATGCGTTCCAACTCCACTTCTGACTTCCTGGCTTTGCGTCTGCAGTTTCTCAGATCAAGGCTAGCCTGTTCAAGTTCCTCTTCTTTACTGTGCCTGTGCATCTGCCTCCCGCTGATCCATGTCTGTTGGCGTTCAAGGTCTGTAATGCGTCGTTCTATGGCAGGTTTTCGAGATTGGAGATCCAGGATTTCGCTGTGTAAACGTTCATAGCGCTCCTGTATAAATTAAGAAATAAGTAGAGTACTTTAAAAAACCGACGTTGTTCTTACTGTGTTTAGACAGCTGTTTCAACAAAACTATATCATCTTTAACATGTTACGTGGAAAAGGCATGTTAATGATAATAATGAAGATCATTTGAAGATTATTTCTATAGCGCCCACTCCTGTGTAAACACAGCTCTAGGCGCTTTACATAAATGCATGTACGAACAATATTCACGCGCGCGCGCGCGCACACACGCACACACACACACACACACACACACACACACACACACACACACACACACACACACACACACACACACACACACAACTACTTGCGCACGCTTACACATCGTTACGAAATGAGCACATACAAATACATAATAAAATAATATACACAATGCAATTCGCAAAATAGATAAATGGATACATAGTCATTTACATAACATTGTACTGAACATGAATCTACTGACCTAAAAATGATGTAATTAAATGTGTCTTTAACGATATTTAAAATTAAATTTAGACTTAGATGTTGTATGTCTCAAGGATTTGGGAGGAGAGTTCCAAACCGATGGAGCAAGGTGGGCAAACGATCTTTCAGCTAATTTCTTACCTCCTTTTCTAGGAACTCTTAAAAGATACTGATCGCCTGATCGCAGTGATCTAAATGTAGATGGAACATAAATCTGGATAAGAGCACTAAAGTATGAGGGATCTTTGTTATTGACACAGTTATGATATAATATTGCAATTTTATTAACATTCTAGCTGACACGGGAAGCCAATGCAACGTTCTTAACTTGGGAGTAATGCGATCCCTCTTCTTTCTCTTTAGTATGAGATGAACTAGAAATTTTGACTAAGCGGAATTGAGCAAAAAACCGGTCTTCTTGCATCCTGTCAAGTCATCAAATTTTCACATTAACTTCTAAAATGGATTTCCAATCACTATATTGCAGAGGTGTTAAACTCATAAGATGCAAAAGCAATGGAGTTTCTACAACCTACTTCTAGCTTTGTCGTACCTGGCCTTCTCTGTCAGTAATGCTGCCTGTCAGTCTCATTTCCATTTTTCTGTATTCTTTGATGTCCAGATCAACAAGCACATCCTTGTTTTCTGCTCGCAGTCGTCTTCCCTCAGCCTGTGGTAGACATACGTTTAGGTACAATCTACCTGGCCACAAAGTAAATGTAATTAAGAAAGAAGGAAGGAAAAAGGAAGGGAGGAAGGAAGGTAAGAAAGAAGGCAAGAAGAGACAAAAAAGAAGGAAGGATGGAAGGCAGGAAGGGAGGAAGAAAGGAAGGAAGGAAAGAAGGAAAGAAGGAAGGAAAGAAGGGAGGCAGGAAGGGAGGGAGGGTGGAAGGAAGGAAGGAGGGAGGGAGGGAAGAAAGGAAGGAGGGAGGGAGGGAAGGCAGGAAAGAAGGAAGGAAGGATGGAAGGAAGAAAGGATGGCAAAGACGATACACAAAAGTAAATACCACTCATGTACCTATGGACTATGTCGCGTGGGTGCGTCCATAACAGCAAGTCAGTGGTTGGAGTGGGTAGGTTATGAAGGTGCACCTTTTTAACAACAAAAACGTATTCCATGATTTTAGGTGTCAACCACTTTCCGGCTGAATGGCCACGGATTATGGCTTCAGATCAACATTGTCTTGTCCATACTACCTGACAGCAGTTCTTAGAGAAAGCTGTAAAGTTAAGTTTTGACAGTAAACTGATTACCTTAAGGTTCTGTTCCCTTGGCTTAAGACGTTTCAGCTGGTCATTGCACTCTCCGATGTACTTCCTGAGAGATTTGACTGTAAATTCTCCATTGTTGGCCTTCAGTTGGGCATCTCTGTAAACTTTAGCCTTCAAAAGAAAGAGTGAGAGAGTGATGGGTAGACGTGCTGGAATAGAATGTTTTCAAAAGAAATTTGTTTTCTGTCGAGGATGTTAAGAGAGCGTACCGTTGATTTCAGTTTTAACTATTCCTCTGTTTTCTCTTGCTTTTTCGAAGTTCTAAATGGCCGTTATTGTGTCAATGGGCTTTTCAACAAAACTATACGTTTTCGATCATTATTTCTCTCTGTTTTTCTATTTCTCTCTCTCTCTCTCTCTCTCTCTCTCTCTCTCTCTCTCTCTCTCTCTCTCTT